GTTAGACCTGGTATGGGATCCATTCGATACAGCAACAAAATTTGAAGTAGTACTTTGGAAGCTACCTGAGCGATGTCCAGATCCTATTGAGCTTGGTGGAGGGCTTAGATTACTACTGCGACGGCGTTCCGAATCAGTAGGAGTCGTTGAGATAGCCTGGTCGCTGCTCTGCAGGCGCCCCCTCCCAACTAATTCCTGGGAAATACTACTACTACCATTATTTTGAAGGCTAGTTTCTCCATGTTGGACAACATCGATCTGAACAGATGCCGGCTTCTGCGCGCCAGCGACCGTATCTAAAGGTCCTATGTTTCCGTTGAGCTCTAGTCCTTGGCCAGTATAAGCAGTTTCGACCTTCGGAACATAGGGCACTGCTTGTATCGAGCTGCTGATCTGTCCATCTTGGCTGCGGCCTTTGTACTTGTTGCTGATCTTTTTCCGTAACTATAACAAAGTTAATCTGACCTTGTCGCAACACCGATGCGCCGGCGTCAACTTACTCGATCCATGACTGGGTTCTAATGTGCCGCGCATCCACTCTGCGTTGTGCGCTGGACGTTGGGAAATATCCACACTCTAGGCTTCGGTGGAGAAGGCTGGATAGACTATGTGGATCGTGGTCAGAGACGGTGCGACGAACGGCTGGGGCTGTGGGTATCAAAGTCCCCACCAGAGGCGGTGCAGTTATCACGGGGCGAGTTTCAGCCGCTCACCAGATCCAGAGAGCTATACGTGGTACTTCAGGCATCTGCGTGGGTGCTTTGCCCTCAGTAACGGGCTAGTCTGGAGCGGGAAGTATCCCACCAATTACAGCCCCTATGACCATCCCGCGGACGTAGATAGCACAAAGTGAGGAAAAGAACAGCGTACTTGCAGTCGTTATCGCCTAATGATGCAGTGAGATTCCATGACCCCGCGCGAGTGACCAATGGTCTAGTATTTACCACGAGGCTGAGTCGCGCCTCTATGCGGCATCTTCGGCTAAGTCGTACTCGAAACAGTGCCTCACCCACTACAACGAATAGAGGGCCTCTTTAGCCGCTGACCGGAAGCGCCACTCATACGGGTGTTTGCATGTAACAGACACGTGAGTTATCGTGGGAACTTTTAGTTCACATGTTTGTATAACAAGAAGGTCTGCTCTTAGTCACATACAGAAGATCCTAAGAGCTCCACTTTACTTTTGCCTGGCATGTCGAAATCAGTACACTCAATCGCGAAGAAAGAAGGCCCGAGCGCCGGTGTTGAGGGTGACTTTCCTCTTGATGAGGCCGTGGTCCAAGGCAAGTCCTTACAGGGTTCATAATATGATTAGAGCTCACAGCCTTGTACAGCTCTACCAGAGGGCAGCAAAGTTCTTTCTGCGCACAGCTATGGCTCCTCCGCGTGGACTGTTACAGCCCGTCTGAACGTTTTGCTTCCTAGCGGAGTTGAGAAGAAGTTCTTCCTCAAGATTGCGACCGAAGAGCCTGGTCGCGTGATGATGGAGGGAGAGTTCAATTCCATGAGCTCTCTCTACCAGACTTCGCCAGGATTTATTCCCAAGCCTCTGACTTGGGGTAAATTCAAAATGAAGGCGCCAGAGACGTACTTCTTCCTATGCGACTTCATCAACATGACCAATGACATGCCGGACCCCGTCCAGTTCTGCGCCAAGCTTGCAGAACTCCACAGGACAAGTGAATCTCCGACTGGGATGTTTGGTTTCCACATCTCTACTTGTCATGGCAGGTTCGCCCAGGAAGTTGCTTGGGACCCGAGTTGGACGAATTTCTTCACGAAGCTGCTTCGAGCTGCTCTCGTCATCGAAAAGCAAGAATGCAGCCCATGGCCGGAATTTGAGGCAGTCGCAGAGCGCACACTTAGCCATGTGATCCCAAGGCTTTTGGGCGCGCTCGAAGAAGATGGCCGTCAGATCAAACCATCGCTCATCCACGGAGACCTTTGGGAAGGTAACGTCGGGACAGATCTTTCGAATGGGAACGTCTATATTTTCGATGCTGGCGCATATTACGCTCACCATGAAATGGAGATTGGTATGTGGCGATGCGAAAGGCATAAGATCAAATCGCGAGAATACAAGCGACAGTACCTCCGGAACATGACTGTGAGTGAGCCGGCAGAGGAATTCGAAGACCGCAATCGTTTGTACTGTATCAAGATGAACACCATCCATTCGGCGCATCATCCTGGGTCTATCGTTAGAGAAACGTAAGTCGCAGTTATCAAGATGGAATGTCAAATTGACTCACATGATCATAGGGCCTACAACGACATGTGCTACCTAGTCGACAAGTACGCACCATACCCGACAGGAGAAGAACCTCCGCGAAGTAAAGTGCAGGGCGAGGTACCTGCAACCGTATGGCAAGGAGGAGATAGCTATGTCAGGCAGGCAGACAATTGGAACAATCCAAATATTCCCGCATTGTCGGTGTAGACCTGCGTCATATTGATAGTTCCCAAATATACCATCAAGTTCAGCAAAAGTCCTCGATGTCATCACTTTGATGACTGGTTCCGACTTTTCTGTCTCCAACTTTTTCCAGCGTGTTGTAGTAGAAATGCCATAGGCACTGCTAATAAAGTAAGGCCTGTCAACAATGTGAAAGTCCATCCAGTTCCTAGCTTTGAGATGATAGCATCTAAGGCTGCTAGAGCTGCGGCGGCAAGCAGGCAACGGAATAGATTGGCAGCTGCACTAGCTGTTGCGGGGCGGATCGGATTGACATCGACAAGTAAAGTGCCGCAAGCGTTGAATACCCCGGTGATCGAGGCACCGATGAAGAACTGGAGAACCAGAGGTATGGCGAAATGCGTATGCCTATCCAAAGCCCATCCGTACCCAATGGTGGTCACAGCTGCAGCACCCATGTAGAAATACGTGGCGCGCAAGCGAGCCTTCTCTATGGGAAATTCCAGGAGGTCATCACCGCGTGTTCGATCGATTGAGAAACCCAAGCTGGAAGCGACTCTCCGATACTCCCAGTTCATGACATAGCCTGCGTTTGTCAGCTCCCACACTATGTGTATATGGCGTGTGCTACTGACCGCAAGTATAAGAAGCCAAAGCGCAACCGACTCCGAATGGAATATATATTAAGCCAGCGTATAGTTCCTCGAAGCCATAGATCGTTATGAAAAGGGTCGAAAGTGACGCTTGAACACAGCAGTAAGTCATGTAGAACAACCCGTTGATGAGCATAATCAATGCGTTCTCCTTCTGCCAAAGAGCTTTGAAACATGGTTTGAGGCTGGGCATTCTCGTCCGCTGAACATCCGTTGAGCCCTCAGAACTTGCGGTTGATGATTTGTTCGATTTGAGCTTCATGTGAGTCAAGTAAGATCTGTTAAGAAGACGTGCAGGCATAATCGACCCGTTTCCGACGATCTTTCGAGCGGTCTCTGGGAGCGTAATGGCGAGTATGCAGAAGTTGATGCCGGACAGTATCGCAAGCGTCCAGAAGATCCAAGGCCATCCAGCGTACTGTACGAGTATGCCTCCCAGGACAGGACCGAGACTGGGTGCTACGTTCGGGCTAAGGTGTGATGTTTAGAACAGTATCGTCATCTTTGGCACATAGTCATAGCATACCCGAGTAGGACTGCTCCGATAAACCCGCCTCGTTCAGCAGGCGTAGCAATGTCACTGACGACGGCGTAGCCGAATGAAATCGTTCCTTAATGGTGCATATATCAGCAAAAATATTCAGGCAAAAACATTCTCATGTACTCACCACTTGAGCCAGCACTCTGCAACATCCGCAGTATAAGTAATGCTGGATATGATCTTTGAACGGCCAATCCCACATTGGCAATAGTGTATATAAGTATAGCGAGTAGAAACAATGGTCGGCGACCCATGGTATCAGCCATGTCACCCAGTATTGAAGGCGCTATTCCAGATACAAGCATATAGGTCGTGATTGATAGATTAGCCATGGTGAGTGTAATTTTCAGATCGTGCGCAAGATTGTACAATGCCGGATAGTAGATGAAGCTACTGAGAGGAGAAAAGAGTCCAGCGTATGCGACGAGGAAAACGATCCACCGCTTTTCGCCACGGGTGAAGATGGAGTACGGTGCTGTGTCTGGTGGCTGGTCTTGCGTTGGAGTACGAGTGACGACTGTAGCCTTTTCGCTCATAATGGGCGAATTTTGGATAGCAGACATAGCGATTGCGATGGTAGAAGTTTAAGACTGTAGTACAGTCAAAGAAAGTAGAGTGCTGTTCCTCGATTGGCCCCCGCGGATAACGATATACCGATTGGCGGCAATGCGCTGCAGCTGGCTGGTCGCCATCTTCCTGGGTATCGAGCGAGCCAACCATATGACATCCGGTACATATGCCTATATCCAGAGTGGTTCTCAAACAGACGGACTGCTATGTGTATGTAAACCCATCGCCGTCGCGACACAATTTAGTAGCACCGGCTCACTGGGCATGCTCCACTAGACAATTAAGAATGAGCGGCATAACGCGTCTATTTAGGCTATCGCCCGGTATTAGTTGCAAATCCGTTATACGTACCGTTCGCGATCCACGACGAACGTGACATGCCACGACGTCTAGGTATGAATACTCTTAAGTGTGCGCTCGATGGACAAACTGTCATTTCCCAGCCACCACAAAATGCCCCACTCAGCGCGCGCGTTAGCGCGTATCGCCAGCACCGACGCCATGAAAGGAAGAAGGCACACCTGCTTACCATGAAGAATGGTGCAACTACATGGAACATATTTGAATAGGACAGCGCAAAATCACGTACTTGAGAAGTAGAGACCCAATCGCAGCATGTGGCCTCTCATGGGTCATGAGCATCACAGTGTTCAGGTGGCGCGGCAAACATATGACATGAGCTGTTTGTACAAAGAGATAGGTTTTTATGAGTAGTAAGAAAACCTATCCTTAACTTTCTTGATACATTGACAAAGTAAGTTACCACGCATAACATCACGGTATGGTATACATGATGGTACATTTCATGAACGAAACAAGCTTCTTCATATGTATGTGTTCATGGTATTTGCTAAACTTAAGTGTAGCTAGTCTTTCCTAAAAGCGACTTTTCCTATCATCTATTGATTGTGATCCTTCATCCAACGTCATATCTATTAATCCTAGTGGTGAAGCATCTCATGCAAAATGCAGACGGAGACAAGGAGGATCACACCTTTGAATGCCACCGCATATTCATACAGTCTAGAGAGATTCCCAGCCCGTTGTATAGACCGCGTATACGTCAACACTTACTATGCAGCGCTATCTCTTAGCCGTTGCTGCTCTTCCTCCGTGAGCTGACCGAACTCTTCAGCAAAGCCCTGCGTGGTCGCCGCGCGCTTGAAGAAGTCGACTAGGAAGCCTTGAGTCTCATCGTCGCGCTGACGACCACCGCCCGGCTCCTCAGCGGCAAACGCCATCAATTGCTCTCTGCTAAAGCCACTGCCAAGATCGACGAACGGATTCACCTCATCCTCCCAGTCATCATCACCGGAATCTTCTTCGGCGAGCTCAGCAGCAGCTTGTGCGTCGAGGGGTGCGCCAGAGGCGGACTGAAGTTCGACGACGAGAACTTTGAGAATCTTGAGAGGGGCAGGAACTATGGTATATTTGTCAGGATCTGATTCGAGCGTCAGTTTGTGGATGGAAACAAAAGGGATTTGCATTGCTTGGATGCAAGAATGACGCGGTAGCCTACAAGCATGCTCCACAACATGACACTTATCGAGCCAAGTAATGACAACGTAAAGGTAAACAAGAAGATAGATGATGGAAGAAGCTTACTATTTTTCGCACGACTTCTGGTCATGATGCGGCCGTCATTGTTTGGTATCAAGTCGCCCTGCACTTGCACCTGTGCAACACGAGGGTCCTTCAAATCGTATAGTTTCGAGAGGGCGATAACACTAAAACACATAGTCAGCAACAGTGTACAATTAATAGAAGGAAGCGGAAGAGGGGAGTTCAACTTATTCCGAACGGTCTGAAGCCTTCTGATAGGCAATCTCCGTTCGTATGTGAACTGCTCGATTTCCGGAGAGGTTCGTACGTACTTTTGTCGGATTTCATCGTAGCCGGCGAAGTTGATCGAATTCTCGAGCCACTTCGCTAGGACGACCTGGAGGCCGTTTTGACCTTCGATATCCTGGCCGGCCAGGAAGTCCACCACCTCCGAGGCGTGATTCAAGCTCAAACGCGCGAACACAAGCGTCAGACTTTGAATGAATTGAGCTTGTCCCGCCTGTGCAAGACGGACTGCGACACTTCGCAGGAGTTGCTCCAGATAAGGACCAAGTCTTTCATGGCCAGCCTTCTCCACTACTTCGGCGGCAAGTGCACCAACCTCGCCAGCAGCGTGATCACTGCACGAAGACAACAGACGCGAAACAATAATGAGAGTGACCTCGAGGCCAGCCTTTCCAGTGTCGTCCCGCCATTCGAAGAGTTGTTGGTGGTCGTGCGAGATGATGTTCTTTACTGCAGTCGTGGCGGACTTCAGCAACTCCTCATCGGTGGAGCCCAGAAGCACTCGTGTAAGTTTTGGCATGGTCGTCGCAACGAATCCAGCAGGAAGTGGCTCTGGTCCATGCTCGGCAAGCACGGCAAGGAGGTCGGCAGCAAAGTTGCACAAGGCGTTCTCCTCCGTCAAACTTCCGACGTCGAAAGCGCCCATAAGTGATGGAAGGACCCTTGCGCAAAGTTGGACGTATGCATCACCACCCATTCGCGCAATAGTCTCAGTCACCTCTTCGAATGCCTCGGTGACTAGCATGGTGAGTTGGAAGTTGTTAGCTTGATGACTGGCGACCCGGAAAAGCGTATCGAGACCGTTGTCTGTAATGCATATCCGTGTATCAATGAGTATAGCATCTCGCAGTGTTTCGACCAGAGTAACCATGAGATCCTCACTGTCGCTGAGCTCTGACATGTCTTGCGCGGCAAGGTAATTACTGATAGCCATGATGATGGTGTTCTGTATTGGCTGTGTGGTCGCGTGTGGGAGCGCCTGGAGATAGTATTGCAGAGCTCGGATGCACGACACTTGGACAACGTCGGACTCGTCAGATGGAATGGCCTGCAGAGATGCCTCAAGGAATGAGGTGCCAAGCTGTTGCAGAGCATCTCCTGATGTTCTTGTCAGACTCCCGGCGACTAGGTAACCGCGTGCTCGAAGGAAAGCGTCGGGCTGCTGCATGGCATATCGGATAAAGTCGACGTAGCCGCTCGCAGTATCTGGACTGATCTGCTTCTCTACGTCTTGGAAGTCACTCAACAGCTGGTTCAGCACATAGAGCGCAGCCTCTTCAGCTTTCCAACCCTTGGACTCAGAATATAGCGCTCTTGTGTAAGTCAATAAGCCGTTGACGGTAGGTTCTGTGAGCCATTCGCCAAGCTTGATAACGAGATCACCACAGGCCGTTCGGGGTGTGTAATTCGCCGTCACACTCGTCTCCTCACTCAAGAAGATGTTTACATCCACATCCCAGAGTCCCTCCTCTTCAGTAGTAATTTGCGCGTACGCCACAGCCAGCTTCATAACCTGGGTGACCCATGAGTTTTCGGGCGCCTGGTTCTGGAGTTCCTGTTCGAGTTGTGCGCGGACCGGAGGTGCGCGGAGGCACGCCTGCATAAAGTCCAGCTCTTCAAGGATTAGGAAGTCCAGAGTATACGGCAGACCATCGCCATCTTCTAGCCTGCTTTGACGATCTTCTTGAATGTACATGAGAGAGTATGCCGGTTCAAGCAACGAAAGCTCTTGCCAGGTGGCCTGGAATAGGACGATACTTTGTGGCGATATGATGGCAGGAAAGAGGGACCGTATGCGCATAAGGACCTGTTGGTTCTTTAGTACTACAAGGTATGCAGTGAATCATACGACATGACTAACCTTGACACACTGTAGCTTGAGAGCGATCTGTCCCTTGTAAAGTGAGGCATTCGGTGTATCCTGGTCTTCTTCTTCTTGCGACGGCGGGTCAGGGAGCCTAGTGTTCAGGACGTTGACGAAAAAGGGAATCCACTCCTTGAGTATCTCGTCGGCAAAGCTCTTGACCATGGCCTTGTGATCCTCCAGCACCAACTCTAGTATATCGAAGCAGCCGTGGAAGACTTTGCAAGCCAAGGCCCTCATTGTCGGCTTCCTCTGGTCGTTGGTGGCCACATCGTACAGGACCTTGATCATCTGAGGCGCTACGGCAAAGAAGGTCTGTTCGTTGAACGAGTCTTCAACCAGCTCGCCGAGGACTCTGAGAGCGCCATGAAGCTGGCCTTCTGTCGCATTCGGTATCAGTGCGAGAAGATTGTCGAGAAGATCTGGCCATTCAATGGGGTAGTCGGCGCTTGCGATCTTGCTGACGACGAGGCCTGCGGCGGCCTTGAGCTTGCGGTCAAGCTGGTCCGATGTGGCGAGAGTGAGCAACTGTTGCCGTAATATGGCCTTGTTCTCGTCTGTGACCAGCGCCTGCCCTTTCCATTCGTCGATACTGGAGCTCCATCCTGCCAGCACGATGTTCTTTATGTACAGCAGGGCAGCCTGTCGGATGTTGAGAGGTACGCTCTCATGGCAGGCGATGCCAATGAGGCCTAGCGGGAGCTCCTGGTGGCCGTAGAGGGAGAGGAGCTGCTGCTCAGCGTGTTTGCGGGTGTCCTCCTGGGCGGTTTGGGTCGCTGACAGCAGCTGGACTAGTTGGTCCTCCATGTTCAACGTGGGGCCTGCGCGTATAGAGCTAGTCGGCACGTCTAGCGCTCCCCAAAACGGCTGGCGAGCAAGATGGATCGATTGTTGACGCGTTTGTTGATGGGTGTTGCTGGGCGATTGAGCACGAGGAAAAAGAACGCGCCCGGAGATGCGGGGCAACTCCGTGAATCTCTGGGTAGTGGGGTGGGTGGCTAAGCGGATGCTATAACTGAAGCAATAAGCCTACCAGGGCTGACGGATGGATGTACCGTGGGGATGTCGAGAGAAGAGGCTGTTTGGGAGCATCGGCTGAGTTGCAGCAAGGGACGAGGTGGCCAATTACCACGATGCGCTCCGATGGGCGGTGACGACGATGCTTCTTCCCGGTCGTGGGAAGGAAACGCGACACCTGGGCGGCTGCACCTTCGCTCGCCCTCCCACGACCCTCACCTGCCTGCCACGTTGGTCTTCTCAACAATGCCAGGGGCAGTCAACACAGCGTACGCACGACATCTGCCATACCGATCACCACCAACCCTACCAGAGCCTTGAGGCAGCCAGCCAGCCATTCATCGATACGCTAGCGGCCTTCACGCACACGCGACGAGACGCGTCTGCGTCATGATCACACCCAACTCCGAATAGGCGCACGGAACATGGCACCAACATACCTCCAGAACCTCTCCCACTTCACCGTCTTCCTCACAGCTTACACGCACACGCTCCTGTGCCTCCGCGAACTCTATCCACCCACCTCCTTCGCCAAAGCCCGCTTTCACAATGCCCCCGTCTACCAATCGCGCCATCCGCTCGTCTGCGAGTGGGTCAACGACGCCATAAAAGCCGTGCGCGAAGAGCTCATCAACGGCATCGTCGCCAGGATCGCCATCGTCATCTTCAGCTACCCGGATGAGGGCGAAGGGTCAGGCAGCGGCAAGATAATGGAGCGCTACATGTTCGACGTGAGCGCCTTCCCAGTCGTAGCCAAGGGGGACCGCAACATAGACATTGAGTGGGAAGATGAGACACGGGTGCCCGAGGTCGAATACAATGATGATGGCACTATCAAGAGAAAGAAGACAAAACCACTCGATGTCGATGTCCATGCCGACATCAGCGAACAGTACCGCGCTGCCTTGATTGCGCTTGCGGTGCGTGCTCCGCGACTCGATCCATTACCACCAAACTGCTCATTCAACATCAGTATGGAACTCAAGGATGAGCCTGAAATCGACCCGCCCATGGGACACACAGAGACATGGGTGCCGGTCCAACCTAGTTTGCAGAAGAAGGGGAGAGGCAAAGCGAAGCAGGCCTTGTTTAGAGAGGAGCTCGACGAGGAAGCTTTTGAGCTAGGGATACTGAGAGAAAGGGAAGGAAGGGATCTGGGTGGCGCCAGTGTCATACCAATACGCAGTGTGCAGGCAGGTGTCTTCAGCTTTGAGAATTGGATAGAAGAAGGCAAAGCCAAATTCGAGAGCAAGGACGAGGGTAGTTCAAAGACAAGTTTCTCTAGTATTTTCAATTAGATGAATCGATAAGTTATAAGCCTGTGACCATCCTTGCGCTACTTGAATGTTCTAAAAGGTATCAAATGTTCGTCATCTTTTACGAATCACCCGGTGCATATACGCATCGTGCATAGCCCAATCCCCTGATGTCATGCCATGTAGTATCGAGAACGTTGTAAAGCGAAGGAAACGAACCGCTACCATCCTCAAGGGGCATGCGGTCTTCTGGCTCTGAGCGCTGGCACTGCCGCTGGGGCACGATCCCGGCGCCTCTCAGCCACCACAGTTCGACGAGCTTCAACATACGCCTCAGCATCTCGCTGCAGCAGCCCTTCCACCTGAGCGCCATCGGCTTCAAGCCTCTGCAGTCGCCTCATGTCTCGCCGCTGTTGTCGAAACTCAAGATAATCACGGTTGGCCTCTTGAAGCCGAAGTCCGGCAGCAATCACTCTAGCTTCCCGGTCGACCTGTGGGGCCTGGTGATTGGCCTCTTGAGGTCGACGAAACATGTCGCGGTGATCGTGGTGATGACCAAGTTGGACTCGGTCAAGGTTGAAACGATCGACAGCTCCAACAGCAGCGGGACGATGTGCCTGTTGAACTCGTTCATCGTCTGGTCCGACCGCGTTGACGAGATTCCGGAGCGGGTTGGGTGGAAGCATATCCCAAAGGGCGTCTAATGGCCGAGGTCTAGCAATATTGGTTAGGCGGATGATACAAATGACAGCGTAGGCATGGCGCAACCATGGGGTGTTGCACAAACTGTTGTGGTGGAACAGCACCATAGTAACCAATATGTTGAACGGGATAGAAGGGTTGATAGAAGGGGATCGGTTGGACCCGGTATCCAAAGGCGGGTACAGGAATAACTCCTGGGTGAGGGTGCACATACCGATCTGGGGCCAAATTCACTGGTGGAGGGCGGCCAAAGGCCGGTATCGCAGGCAAGGGAGGCCCTACAGGCGCATGTCTGAGCTGCTCTCCAACCATGTGGTAAGGGAATGCTTGTGCTTCTGCTGTTGCTCGACCTTTGCGCGCATCCTCTGCTTGCTTGACACGATCTGATACCTGCACCATCAGATCCGCATCTGAAAGGTCTGGATTGTCAGCCCGAACTTTGGCCATGGCTTCATCAGCTGCCCTCTTAACCTCTTGTTCATGGCGGTCTTCAATATTCTCGTGTAACGGACATTTGCCTCCCACAGCATTGCCAAAGTGGTTATAGTCGGTCACGTTTTTGGAGCAAACGTAGCTGCATTGCAATTAGCTTCAGTGACGACACTTTCATGTTGGAGCTTACCACTGCACGTTCCTACAGTGCGTACATGTCATCTTGTTGCAGCCAAGTTCTTTGATGAATGGATGTTTACATTTGTTGCAATGTCGTATCAGGGCTGCTGACATAGCTTCTTCGACGATGTGTCGTAAGGTTATCTGGCCGTCTTTCTTGGATTCTTCGCAGCTGAGCGGGATATGCGACTCTTTCTCACAAATACGGCAGCTCGTCTTGCCACACTTGGGATTCTCGCATCGAAACTCCTTGTCGACCTCGACTGGCAGGCACTCCATTCTGAAGTCGCAGAATGGGCATTCGGAGAGAAAGTCCAGACCAGCCGCTTCCAAGTCTTCTCTCTGTTGCATGTGCTCTAGTCGCTCGAAAGTCGTGTCGCTCAAGACTTGTTGCAATTGTCGTCGCGTAAATGTTCCGTTGCAATCATCGACTCCAAAACACTTGGGTCTGCAGCGAGACTGACCCATCTGCGTCTCAATCTGCTGACGAGGACAGTTTACACAATAGAAGTGGATAATGTCTCCGTTGCAGCTAATCATGCGGTTCAGAGGAACGTCGTCAAAGCAGCATACACATTCGCCCATCTCATTGTTCATTTCCGCGTGTTTCAAATTGGCTTCTTCAGCCAACTCAGCGTCTTTGACCTTCTGGCGTTTGGCTGTTGATCATTAATTTGGTTCATGAGATAGACTACTACGAGGTGCGACTTACCCGCTTCGACTTCGCGCTTCTTCTTCGCCGCGTGCAACTCCTTGGGTATCTGGCTACCTTGCTCAATCAACTGGAGTTGAACACCGCGCTTGTTACGGGACTTGTTGATTAACGAAAACGTCTTGGCAACGTGCGCGTAATCGCGCACTTGTTGTTCAAGAACGCCGTAGGCTTTGTAAAGAGTCTTTTCTTCCTTGAGAACTCTCGTAATATGCCGTACAGGTACAGTGAGAAACTCGTCCTTTAGCAACTCTGTTCTGCGAAAATTAATGTTAGAAGTCTGGCCGAGAGGGGTAGATAGGTACAAAGAAGGCGTGACGTTGCCAGCATTGCGAGCACGGAGATCGTTCCATGGTTCGAGGCGTGGCAAAACCTCAGAATACTCCCTTCAATACGAGCAGAAAATGGCAATGTGTCTCAATCTAATACTGTATCGATGTGCGAAGCCAGCAGAATACAAGCATTGCGCCACAGAATTTGTGAAGAAGTGAGTACTTACGCGTCATGTTCATAACCACCGATCTCGGGGTCACGCTCGGCTTTCTCGTAGGTGCTCAGTTCACTCTCAGCTTCATCTTCCCTCTTCCTTTTCTTGTTGTTCGCGTCATCCGACTCTTTGGGATATGGATCGCCCTCTAATAGCTCGGTCAGGAAGTGCTCGCACTGTGCTGTTGTTCGCGTGGTGTCTGTCGTTTTTTCTTGAATCAACTTGAGAACATAATCGACCGAGATGTCTGGCAACACGCTCAATACCATCTGCAAGCAGGCCGCTTCGGTGACGACTGTAGCTTCATCTCCCCATTCAGGGGCTCGTCCCTCAGGCTGTGGCTCTTGTTCTTCTACCACAACAGCGTCAGATGGCGGAACATCAACGTCTGGGATTTCGGTCAAATCGATGAATTGGTGGTCGTGTTCCCGGAGTTGAGTGCGAAAATCTGCGATAGGGTCATCCATTTCAGGGTAGTCGTGAGCAAACTCCGCTGCAGATCGTGCGTCGAAATCTTCCAATTCGCGTCTCGTGAAGCTTTCATCCTCCGTCTCACTATCAGAGAGCAAGTCAACCACTTCATGATCGCGATGAGTGCCAGTCGGATCCATTGGGGTTTTTCCAAAACAGCGGTTGTAAGGCTGATTGATAGTAGTCTCGACTGTGGAAGGTTGTTACCGAAGCGATTGGGCAGTTCTTGAGGACCTTGGAAGTAGAAGACCAAATATTAAAAATTAATTGTATCTAGTCGAAATCAGGAGAAAGAGTGAGGGGGCGATGGTGACGCAAACGTGTGTAGTGTTTAGGTGATTCAGACCAGCTCAATTCACTTGAATGTAGCCTTGTCACTCACCCCACCAGTTGCTGGAGGCCTCTCACCGACTGATGGGCACTAGCTGAAGGGGGACGAAGAAGAAGCAAAGCGAGATCAAGAGAAGAGCAGGCGTTTCGCACTGCAGCTTGCAGCGGCGTAAGGGTTTCAGGGCGCAGGCTGGCGAGAGATCGAAGAGCTATCGCGGAACAGCGAGCGGAACGGGCAGCGGCACCAGTAGGGTGAGAGCAGAGGCAGTAGCTATGTGCCACAACAGCGCATACCCAAGTATTGATGTACAGCCATTACAGCGCCGCCAGTGTTCAGCAAAACAGAGATGACTAGTTGTCGTGAAGGGATACTACGCCGCTCTGGAGCGCGGGAGATGGGCGTCTCGCCCGGATGATCGTGCAGTTGGCTGGTCCCGCTAGCCCAACTGCCGCTAACCATTTTGTCACGAGCCTGCGCGCACGTCGCACAAGGCTGAGAAGAAGCAATGTCTGTAATCGGTATCGGAGATGCTGCCAATGGGTGCGCGCAGCGTGTGAGTATATGACAAGTAAATTCCTGCTCCGATGCCTGGCCCGATGCAAGACACGAGCTACTCACAAATCGGACACCCGCACATGACCCGTCGTAAGCTGTGACATCGAACTCTCGCTTTGCCACGGCACACCTCGGGCCGCGAGCAACATGATGTATGCTCGGAACACCTTGGTGGAGATATGGGGTCAGCTATAAGATCACACGGAGATCAAGGCGGAATGGAGTCGTCAAAACGCGGGGCGACCTGGACTAAACAAAGAGCTACATGTACCAACTTCCTTTTATTCCTTAGCTATCCGAATCCTTGATCCGTATCGACGTAGCTGGACCCGCTATTCCTTCCCTTGCTGGGTTGTTACAGCCTCTTGATCTGGAAGACTGCATCTGTGCAGGACCGAATCCACGCCTGTCACGCCCTACGACAAGTGTTGTCGAACAGTAGATATAAGAGCTTAGCTAGCTTCGCAAAGGGTCAAGCCAACCCATCGTACCAAACCTAGATATACATCCGCCTACAACATGGCTATCACACCTGCTCTCGAGAACCTCAACAAGGGCGACGCTCCTTCCCTAGCACTTGTCCACCCTACCGAAGCCGAAAAGCAGATACAGTTCAAACTCAATGGGAGTGAATGGCGCGGTGCACTCTCCCTTCCCGCCTACCTCCGACGTGAGGCTACTCTTTCACAACAGGCTCTAACGCGCGATGGCGGCATCTCGTACTGGATCTTGGTTGACACATCTTTGCCAAATAACCCTTTAGATCCAGATTCAGGCACTCGGCTGCCATTAGCGAGCTGCGAAACATACCGGAAGAAAGCACTCGTGTGGCAAAACGGAGAACTGAAGGAGGTCATATGTCACGGCATTGGGAGTGTTTTCTGTGCAACACATCTGCGCAAGCGGGGATATGCGCAAAGAATGATGACGGAGCTTGGGAAGGCGTTGAAAACTTATCAGACAGAAAATGGACAAGAGTGTCTGTTCTCGATCCTATATTCTGATATCGGAAAGGTGGGCAGCTTGAATACCCTACGACGATACACTTCTAACAAAGACAGAAATTCTACAATACCTTTGGCTGGGAGCCTTTTACTTCATCACATGTCTCCATTCCTGGGACCACTTCTCAGGACACGAGCAGCTTACCCACTGCCCGTCCGTTGTACGCAGAGGATCTGGAGGAGCTGTGCAGGATCGACATGGCCTCCGTCCGCCGGAATTTGGAGTCACGACCGAAAGACAGTAACACTGCAGTCGCTCTGATACCCAATATCGAGACTATTCGGTGGCACCACGCGCGTGAAGAGTTTGTAGGTAATGAGCTGCATGGCAAGCAACCAGAGATCAAAGGCGCTGTTGTCGGCACGGAGAAGGGCAAACGCATTTGGTGTTACTGGACAAGAATGTGGTACAACGCAAATCCAGCTGAAGCCAAGGGCAACACGCTGCATATTCTACGCCTGGTCATCGAGGATGGCAGTTGGGAGGGTTCTTCGGGTAGTACGAATGGCGCATCTGTGAACCAGGGTCACGATGCTGCTATTGCAGCACTCCTAGCCATGGCGCAGAAAGAGGCACAGAAATGGAAGATGGAGCATGTAGAGATGTGGGCACCCTCACCAGCGGCGCTAGCAGCTGCGAAGACGCTGGACCCAGCTGCAGAGGTAATTCATAGGGACATGGAGAGCATCGCGTGCTTGCAGTGGTACCCTAAACACGATGGACCAGTGGCTGACAAGATTGACTGGATCGCGAACGAGAAGTATGGGTGGTGTTGAGAAGTGCTTGGGGAGATGCGATTCCCATAGATTGATAGATTTCCATGCATTGCTGCCACTATCAACATGCGCATGTACGAGATAGAGTTCATGTGGGTATTGAGGATGCGAAGTCCAGATGACAGATTGGGGTTGCGGAGTTGTGGAGAATATTCTTCCTCGACCAACTGGCAAGCCAGAAAAGATCAATGAAAAAAGAAGGCCTGTCAGATTGCCGTCAACGTCCTGCCTTCCAGTGCGACCGAAGTACACAGCTGGTTAGCACAAGGTCATCGCCACGATCGCCGAAGCAATCGTAAATAAGGCCTCACTCTAGGACACCGAGGCTGATAGTCATCAACCAGGATGGAGATTCTGTGGCTACTTAGAGTAACTCAGAAGAGGATGCATACTATTAGAAATGATTCTATGAAGTATGATCGACATAGTGAGCAGAAAAGATTCCAAAGAACGACGAGTTTAAATACACACTGGAAGTTGCGCACGGGCCCGCACGCACCGACAAAAAAGCGCAATCTTTGCACTCGTAGACGAGAATTTTCTGCCGAAGTTCTGCCGGCCCCGCTGAATTGCCGGCGTGCTGCCGACTGGCCGTGCGCAACACATAGTACGATGATGCTCGCCGTTCACAGGAGCAAACCCTAGCGTGAAGGTATACACTAAAACTTGTCATGGTCTTCCTAGATAGGAAACGCTGCGACTACCTCCAGGGTACATTCTGGTTTTGTGCATACTTCCCAAGGAACGAGCCTCTTCGAGGTTACAAGAAGTTCCGGGGTCCTTCTCTCCGAGCCATACCTGACAATCAACATCTACTCAAAAGTATACATTAAGTTGGGTCTTGCTCGTCCTCCAACATGGAACACACTGTGTACCTCCAGGGTACATCATGACCTACAGCAGATGAAAAACAAGCAGCTTCGTAGACAGCAAACACGGCACGACAGGTCGGATCTTCTCACAGTAGCCCAGTCAACGAACATCACGAACTTCGCCGATATCCATTATATGGTCCTTGCGGTTCGTCTAGCCTTAATCAAACTCTACTTCAAGATGAACAGGACTCTTTTGCGAACCGCGCATCCAGACAGATTTTTCTTTCTGATAGCGGAGCCTTGGTAGTAGTCTCGCAACGCTTTGCTCTTACGAGCATGATTCGTAAAATACTTGAAGCACTGCAGCCTCTGCCATGAATGCAGACATCGTGAAGTGTCAAGCTGAAGTATACGTCCAGCGCGGCACATACTTGCGGGATATCATGGCAGTATATATCAGCTCTGATACCGAAGGAAGCACGTCTTCAGACTTTCCGTAACGCGATTTGATTGTGCAGCTTTTCTAGCGCTGCGGCGATGCGAATGACAGGTTATGGTAAGAGAATCTTGTTGCAAGATTTTACGGTCAATTCGTATCGCTGTAGAGGCCGGAGGTACTTCAGATTTCAAACCTGGTGTCTCACAACGCAGATTTATCGTGAAGTGATCTAGGCTGTATTATGAGAATGCTCGCATATGCATGAATAGTCTATGTATATAGCAACTATGTAGTTTGATCAATCTTTTGGTAAGCACTTCGATCCCTTAACGCAAACGACTTTCCAAGAAGCTGTATTGCAGGCAGATCTAGGTATGACCGGGTTCCGTCGTACTGCACGAGTTCTTCATAATGAGAAAGAATATGGTCTTTTTGGGTTGTTATCGTCAAAGCATACCGTAGTTCCATGCGCAGTGTCCTGGTCTACAAAAATAAGGAACATGGGAAAATGCATCTCTCTACCTAAGATGTTCGCAGCAGCTTGTGAGAAACCAGATGATTTGTATGGGCGAGTATGCACCAATGTTGTCATAGGTTGGTGCCGACATCGCCATTGATGCAGGCACAGCGGACGGCGGGGCAGGACATGTGCGCATGGCGGGGCAGCAGGACAAACTCAGTTGCCTTGGATGAAGCATAAAGCTTTCGCTGTGCGGCTCCGTTCGTAGGCGATTGTCAGTCAAGTTACTGAGACGCCAATTATCATCATGCAGCAGTCTAGTCCACGCGTGCATAAGGTCTGGAATTTGACAGGGCGAGATGTAGTCCCTTGACTCAACTGCGATCCCGGAGCTACAACAACATTTTTCCCCACGGGGACTATTACTTTACATTGCCCTTGATAGGTACACAGCGACTGTCATCCTTTCTCACTTTTTATTTTGTGTCGCGCTGGATTGTTAATTGACTCTGCACATTATGGCCTCTCACACAGCATCGCAGCGGTACCTGAGTACCCGAGGAGGATCTTATGACGTGAGAAGGACCGGCGGGGATTGCGCTCAGTCATATGTTAACCACGCATAGTTCTCCTTCGAGGAAGTTGTCCTCAAGGGTCTCGCTTCCGACGGCGGCCTCTTCATCCCCGAGGAAATCCCCACGCTGCCCGATGACTGGGCGTCCAAGTGGAAGGACCTCTCCTTCGCAGACCTCGCTTTCGAGATCTTCTCCCTCTACATCTCCCCGTCCGAGATCCCGTCTGCAGACCTCAAGGACATCATCCACCGCAGCTACTCGACATTCCGCGCCAAAGACGTCGTGCCCACCGTCACACTCGATAAGGAGAAGAACCTGCATTTGCTCGAGTTGTTCCACGGGCCTACATTCGCCTTCAAGGATGTCGCGCTGCAATTCCTGGGCAACCTCTTCGAGTACTTCCTCGTCCGCAAGAACGAGGGCAAGACCGGCCGCGATCGGGAACATTTGACCGTCATTGGCGCGACAAGTGGTGATACCGGATCCGCAGCCATCTACGGCCTGCGCGGAAAGAAGGATGTGTCGGTCTTCATCATGCACCCGCATGGCAAGGTCAGCCCGATTCAGGAAGCGCAGATGACGACCGTCATGGACGCCAACGTGCACAACCTGGCTGTAGACGGCACATTCGACGACTGCCAGGTATGCACCCTCAGCGGATCCGCAATACAGAACTAACGCGTCTTAGGACTTCGTCAAGGCCCTCTTCGCAGACCCCGAGATCAACAAGACGCACCGCCTCGCCGCCGTCAACTCAATCAACTGGGCTCGTATCCTCGCGCAGATCACCTACTTCTTCTACTCTTACTTCGACCTCATCAAGCAACCTTCCTTCCTCCCAGCGTCCGCCGTCCGCTTCGTCGTGCCCACGGGCAACTTTGGCGACATCCTTGCTGGCTTCTTCGCGAAGCGCATGGGCCTACCGGCTGAGAAGCTGGTCATTGCTACAAACGAGAACGACATCTTGCACCGCTTCTGGGAGACCGGCAAGTACGAGAAGAAGCCTGTGCACGGAAAGAAGGCCGAGGGCGGCATTCCTGAGGATGGCGCCAAGGCACACGAGAGCGGAGTCAAGGAGACACTGAGCCCGGCTATGGACATCCTCGTCTCGTCCAACTTCGAGCGGTTGCTTTGGTTCCTTTCGTACGACGTATACAGCACAAACTCCGATGCGGTATCGCAACGAAGGAGCCAAGCTGGCGACCATGTACGGAATTGGCTCAACGACTTGAAGACAAATGGTGGCTTCGCGGTCGACAAGCAGATCCTCGAAGCAGCACAGTCCGACTTCGCTTCGTATCGTGTCAGCGACGAAGAGACCATCCAAACCATCAAAGACATCTTCAACGCAGAGGCGTCAAAGAGCTATGTCCTGGACCCACACTCCGCCATCGGCATCCATGCGGCACTACGCTCGGCTCAGGTATCTAAGCCCCCATCCACACACCACATTGCGCTCGCAACAGCGCACCCGGCCAAGTTTGCGAACGCCGTAGAGCTCGCACTTCCAGAGCAGAAGGAGTACTTCCAAGACAAGGTGCTACCAGCTGAGTTCAAGGGTCTGGAGGACTTGCCAAAGAGAGTCAGCCATGTCCAGAAGTCGGAAGGCTGGCAAGGCGTACGCAAGGTCGTCATTGCAGAAGTAGAGGCAGAACGAGAAGCTGCGGAAAGAGGTGCGTAGTTGGGGGGGTTAGACCATCTGGATATAGACGAGTTTTGTTCACTCAATCTTGCATAGACTAAAAAGGATCGCCTGCATGCAAAAGAATCTCAATCATTTATCAACATACTGCTTTAATCACTGTGTATCGCCAATAACCCAGCCCGAAATAAGCTGTCTATCTCTTTTCCACAGCTTCTCGTTCTGCCTCTACTTCTGCAATGACGACCTTGCGTACGCCTTGCCAGCCTTCCGACGCTGCATTGAGAAGAGCGTGGAAGCAATTCATGGTCGGGAACATCGTCGGGAAATCTGTGAAACATTGGGATTCAAGGGAATCACTTATTCTATTCTCTTCGCGTACGACTTCGCCGCCATCTGTTCCCTAAGTATTATGAGTAGCATTTGCCTGCTAGGTTAATTATTACTTCATCCCCTCACCCTGCCTCTCTGTATCTCGTTCTTGAACACGGTCTGACTCAAAATCCAAGCCAGCTCTCTTCCTCACAATTCCAAAAACAGCACTACTATCACATCTTCTTCCCATCTCATCTCCATAGGCCTTCGCCTCCTCCGCTGCCCCAAGATACATTTCTCCAATACCCAACGTCATACCCGCTTGTTTCGCAAGACTAACTCCATGGCCGACATCCTTGATTCCAAGCTCCAACCCTGAAGAAGGTGCCTGGCCAGGAGCAGGTAAATAGCTCCCACTAGTTAAACGTTTCGAAACACCATGTGCGTAGGCTCCAAAGTTCTCTTCAACCAGAGACTCAAGAACAGATGCTGGCAGGCCCGTTTTCTCAGCTACTACATGCGCCTCACTAAGGAGCATCATGAGACCCGCAGTAATGAAGTTGCTTGTCGTTTTCAGCAGAAGGGCTTGGGAGGGCTCGGAACCAACTCTGATAACAGTGCGCGCGATAACATTTTCGAGAAAGGGGAGAACAAGTTCGATAGCAGAAGGAGGACCAGCGACGGCGACCAGCAGACGGCCAGCGACGGCGAGGGGCGTGGCGCCGAAGACGGGGGTGGCGATGTAGAAGGCGCCCGCGGAGGTGAAGTTGTTGGTGATAGTTGATGTGGTGGTAGGGTGGACTGTTGTTGTGTCGACAAAAGTTTTGGAGGTTATGGAGCCGCTGCTTAGGATGGTCTCTGTGACAGATCGGAGGACTGTGTCATCGCTGACCTGTCAATCATTAAAGATGGATCTTTCATAATGATTATCGCACGGAGGTACGTACTGAGATGAATATCACATCACAGTTTTGAGCCAGGTCTGCAATTGAGGGGCATGGCGTGCCTCCGATATCTTTCAAACTATCACCTCTTGAGATTGTACGGTTCCAGTACTTCAACAACGGTAGACTGTGTTTTTTAAGATGTTTCTGGATGTTTGTTGCCATGGCCAGGCCCATCGATCCGAGGCCTATCCATCCTAGACGGAGAGGTTCTTGAGTGGACATGTCGAATGACTATTGGAGTACCTATTCTGAGTGACTGTGGCAGAAAGTTTGGCCGGAATGCTACATGAATATGCATGAGTTAGAGTGACTCAACACACGCATTTGGAGCATACATGTACACGAATCGAGCATGCAGCGCACTAGCATAGAAGAGGCAAGCGGATACCTGATATAAGCGGATATCCCAGGAAGTATGAAGCCTTACCAGAATCCACAACCCTGTACTTCTTTAGTATACCAGAGTAGTGAATATCGCATGTGGCGGCCTATAGAAGTACAACCAGAACTGACAAGTTATATCGCACAGTATATCGCTGGTCTTGTTCAGACATAAAACCTCAACATGAACTGACACCATGCTCCGTGTAATGTATCAATAGTATAACTAATAGGTGTAATGCATAGATGCGTCCAAACTCCTGGCTATGCTGATGACCCATATTCAAAGTATACGGATTTCCAAGGGATCCTGAAATGTACATCGCACAGACCGTGCCGTCAAGATATCTGCCATGTTCCACTCCTCTAGCATTTGTTGCTAGATCCGAGCTCTCGTTTTAACAGCTGAGAATATAGGAACGCTTTTTACGCAAACGAAAACCTCTTTGAAGAGCTTACTCATCATCATCGTCGTCGTCAACGACACGTCTCCGCTTCGTCCGGCTAACGACAACCTCATCGTCGTCATCATCGTCTGCCGCAACACCACCCCGTGCACGCTTTGGACTCGGGGCCATGCCTTCATCTGGATCATCATCGTCACTGACAATCTCTGGTTCCTCGTCACTGTTAACGACAAAGCCGTCCTCTGATTCGTAGCTGTCCTCTCTGTTCCTCCTTAGACCACCAAGATCTTCATCGTCACTCAGGTCGTACTGTAAACCGCCTCTCTTCTTGCCTTGTTTACGAGTTGCGCGGTCTTCCAGTCCATCGATATCGAGGCCTCCTCCTGCCGCACGACCGCCGCTGCGACCCATAGTACGGTTCGCGCGTTCTCTCTGGCGCTCCTCATGCTTTTCGCGAGCGCGCAGTTGTCTCTGCTTCTCCTTGAATGTGGCTTCTTCACGTTGTCGACGGAGCTCGGGGTCTTCGTTTACGTCGATGAAGGATATGGCTTGGTCGGCATCGTCTCGGCCCTTTGCTGCAACCTTGGCAAGATCGTTTTGCAGTTTCTCCAGCGCGGCGTCTTTCGTGTTTGATGTAGGGACGACGTTGAGAGATGCTGTAAGCTTGTTCGTGACGCGCATGACGTTCGCTTCCTCGTACGGCGCAACAAGGTATGTGTAGCTCTCCTTCTTCGAGCTTGTCTTACCATTCTTCTCGTCTCTGACAGCCGTTGGGGTGGGGATTTTAGGGTTCACTTGTGGTGGAGCAAGGGTATTCGCGTCGATGTCGTACTGGACCGTCGGGTCGGTCGCAAGCTGGAGGGTCAGGGAACCGTCCGACCATCTAAGAATGCGAGCGTTGGACTGTAGAAGAGCGTTGTTTGAGGGTGAGCGTCGCCATCGGACTGTGGTCATGGCGGTGTCGTATGCTGAGAAGTGTTCGGACGCGGCGACCTTGGAGTGATGGTCTGTGGAGGGTGGCTGGAAGGTCTTGTGATCGAATGCCTTGTCCTCGAAGGACAGGAAGCGTGGGACTTTGAGAAGGTAGAGCTCGTTGTCTGTGGGTTCAGGAACGGGATGCCGCGCCAGGTCCGCGTCCATGTATGCGAATGTCTGTTGCTCGACCTCCTCTACGGCCTCTGGTGCCCTGACGCGATCTGTCCGTCCCTCATCATCGCCTGAATCGAGCTCTGCATCGTCGAGTTTTCGGGGCGAGCTGGATATGTCAGTCTGGTACTGGTACTGGATTTGTTCGCGACGTACGCTGGCGCGTCTTCAGCTGCGTCGCCGTCGTCGCCGTCACCAAACAGGTCGTCTTCATCATCCTCGAGACCGTTTTCTTCGACAGTGTTCAGCGGAGTGCCCTCGTCGGCATTCTCAGCAGGCGCTGCCTGTCCATTGACTTCGTCGTCGGAGAGCGTAGGGTCGTGGCCCGCGTCGGACATGGTCGCGGTTGGTGGCTTGGGTTGCGCTTTTTGTCGGTGCCGTATTTGAAAAACTCGAGATGTAGCGACGCGACCGTAGTGCCCGATTTGCGAATGGAATTGACGTGATAGTTCCGGTAAAGGTTACGCGCAGCAGCTGGTAGCTCAAGTGAACAAAGTCCGACCACCAGAAGATGAGAATCGCGCTATCCCAAACGGTCCTAGCCCGCCGCCCCTTCTCGATGCAGCCCTTAGGAGAGTGGGCCCAAAAAGCGTGCCCGCTCGAGACGTATCACCAACATCCTCCCCCTCAATCCTCTTGCATACCTTCATAAGCCGGCCTCTCTAGGTGCATTGGACGTATCCGCCCCGTACCCCCCGCACTAGATTGCCAGAATCTGCAAATCATGGCCTCTTTCTTCGCAAACGTGTAAGTTGCTTGGCACATGCTCCCCTTCCTCAAATGCTCGCGCTTCCCACCCCCAGTACACACCCTGAATGTTTCAGGCCATTTGCTGCATGTCGTCTCACGATTTCACTTTTTGATATGCACCTTATTTCGGCGTCACATTGCCGTCCTATTGTGTTATAACAAGCGTCGTCCGAGGCCTAAGTTGTCTTTTCCTCTTTCTAACAACTTCACCGATAGTCGCCAAGGATTGGCTGGTCGATCCAACAAGGGCCAACAGCAGCAGCAGGGCAAAGGCGGCTCTGCATCACCAACAACACCATACTCGGCATCACCAACTTCTCAACAACCTCCCGGCCAACCGCCTATGCCGCATTCTCCAGCTTTGTCGTCTGCCATGTCGTTCGAAAGCCAAGGTGCTCCGTCGGATGGGTCCGTGCCATCTGGCTCCCGCAGACCGCCTTTCTTCTTCCGCGAGGAGTACTCCAACTTGATTGTCAAGGGTAACTTTATGACTTTGGCTGCAAAGCCGAAGCTTGTCGAAGAGGGTGAATGGCTCGCACATCAGGGTATGATTTGATTTTTCCAATATCCCGATGTCGCTAAGTATGTGACCAGTTGTTGAGCAGTACCGGCTACTGGAGCAGATGATTGAGATCATCAAGGTAGTAGATGACAGGACAGGCAAGCCTGTCTGCAACCCAGATACATGTCCTACAATGTCTGCCAGCGGCCATACTTACACCTGGCTGGACAACAACAAGAAGCCCATCAAGATCCCTGCAATCCAGTACATCAACCTCGTACAAAAGTGGATTGTAGGCAAGATCAACGACCCCAACATCTTCCCCACAGACACCACAGCCATTTCCATCGGAGCATCAACGTACGCTTCTGGTTCCATGACGCCCACCTCAACCCCACAGCCTCTCCCACCGAGCAACTCCAATGCTCCATTGTCCCAACTCGCCGGGCGTGAGTGGCTCGGCAAGTCGTCTGGTTTCCCCGAGACTTTTGAAGGCGACATCAAGAGTATCTACCGCCAGATGATGCGGTGCTATGCACACATTTACCACGGCCACTGGCTAGATCCCTTCTGGAACGTGAGCGCGTACAAGGAGCTAAACACGTGCTTCATTCACTTCATCAACGTCGGCAAGCTCTTCAACTTGATCGGCGACAAGGAAATCGAGCCCATGCAGCCGCTGGTCGACCTCTGGGCTGAGAAGGGTCTACTCCCACCAATCACGGCAGCCAAGGAGAACGCACCGCCGAAGAGCTCACATGGGCAGCAGGCTGCACCCGCGTCTTAAACATGGGCATAGTATTCCAATTCAGTAACGAACATGGGCGCCATTTGATATGGAGTACCCATCAGCAAGCTTTCAATATTTCTCGCCTTGCATGGGTAGCGTGAGGGTCTGGATGGGGATGACTGGCGTTCTGGCATGTATTACGATTTGCGCAATGTAGTCCTACATGTGAAAGGAGCAATGAATATTTTGAAGCAAACTGCAATCACTCTACACACATGCAATCAAAGCGGTGAATAGTAAGAAGAGACTCAAATTTGATAGTACCACGTAAAGTAACCAGAGAACTGATTTCCCAACGATCCCAGAAACGAAATGGCATAGTACTTCACACAAACTCCAAATGGTGAAAAAGAGAAGAGAAACCATGTGTCTCCCCGCTCCACCATCCGATCTGACATTTGACACCGATGCAAATACATTTCAGGGTCCGTGGTTTTGTAGAGATGCGTCGTGGCTGGGCTCTGCCACAACGATGGGGCGGGCGTTCGTTATAAGAGGGTCTGTGCTAGCAGACGGTTGGCATTTTCGTGACTCGCTACATTACGGTTCGCGCCCGCCGAACTTAGTTGTGTCCGGCCTTGCGGAGGGAGTTGCTCAACCACTCGAGACCCTCGTAGAGACCGTCTCCGGAGGTAGCGCAAGTCGACTGGATGTACTGCAGGGAGTTAGTGGAGACGCTTTGGAAGTAGGAGTGACTCGAAACTCACCCAGGCACGTTGTCGGAGGCTGTGAAGACCAAGCTTGTCAGTGATCTCAGCGGCGTTCATGGCGTTCTAATACCGCATCGTCAGTCGTTTGCACATGTCTGTTCGCTGTCGTTGCAACTTACGGGCAAATCCTGCTTGTTGGCGAAGACAAGGAGGAGAGCGTCCCGCAGCTCGTCCTCGTTCAGCATGCGCTGGAGCTCCTCACGCGCCTCAACAACACGGTCGCGATCGTTGCTGTCGACGACGAAGATGATACCCTGGGTGTTCTGGAAGTAATGCCTCCACAGAGGACGGATCTTGTCCTGACCACCGACATCCCACACGGTGAACTGGATGTTCTTGTACTCGACAGTCTCGACGTTGAAACCTAGAAGTCGAAGAATCAGCGCATTGTCCCTGTTGGATCTTGTCGTGTAGATGGCGACGTACCGATGGTAGGGATGGTGGTGACGATTTCACCGAGCTTGAGCTTGTAGAGAATCGTGGTCTTTCCGGCAGCGTCAAGACCGACCATGAGAATGCGCATCTCCTTCTTTCCCCATAGCTTGTCGAAGAGCTTCGAAAATGTGAGACCCATGATTGCGGTGGGTGTGTGTGGTAGTGTGAGGGCGAGTGGGAAGGCGGTGTATAGACTCTCGAACCTGCGACGCTACTTGTTAGAAGAGTGTTGGGGAGAGCATCGTGGCCTTATCGGCATGTATTGAGCAGCATGACGGCAGTCGCATGGCCGGCGCGGGCGTATTGAGCGCCCGTTGCGGAGACGACTCGAGGCCACCAGAGAGAGCTGGCCAGGCGCCCGCTATGGGCTGGGCAAAGCAAGTGCAGAAAAAACAATGCAGCAGCGATTGACTTACGGACGGGTTCAAGAGAGTCGGTGGTATTCGGGGATGGGGCGGGTGGATGTGATGTACTCTAAACGATGCACAGGAAGGGCTGCGTTGAAGAGATGTGGTGGAAAGCGCGGCGAAGTCTGGGCACTGTTCGTAAGCTGGCAAGTGCCACTGACACGTGACAATGGCGGCGATCGCTTATCGTCGTTTTGTTGAAGGAGTTGCGGTGAGGGACTTCTTGCTTCCTGCTGCTCCTTTACTTGGAACGCTTCTTATGATCGCTACTAAGAACTTGACACGTTTTGGCTCTCCTGAAGGCTGAAAGTGGAACCCCAAGGCACCCATAAATGTTCGGTTGGGCGATCGGCTCAGCTGCCCCAGGATTGCGTGAGCTCTAGGACCCACAGCTATCCGCACTACTGACTGGGCGACCGCTGTATATCGACGTCTGATCAAGTCCATGTGGAGTTCGTGGTACTCTTTGGGGACTTATCTTGATCAATGCGCCTACTATCATGCCGTTCGCATTGCGCTTTTCGAAAAGGGCGAGGCAACAGGACGGCTCAACCCGAACCAAGTTGCATACCTCTCAGTAAGTACTAGCATCCTTCAGGTCATCGCATTCCCCTATATTAGGCTCCCGTATTTCTCAGAGGACAACATCACATCACCGAGTAGACACCATGGCTACTGTAAGGCAGACATTATTGACATTGTTATCACCTTAGATATTCTTCCCATGACCTTCTTGCTCCTATCTGTGTTATGTTCTGATCATCGATCTAGTCTGATGCTTCAGTATCTCGACGCAGCCGAACATCGTTCGCCGATCTAGGCCTCGGCAGCCATGGCTCCAGCAGCCCGAATGATAGTGCGGAAGCACAGCGAGACACCTGCGATCCAAAGACTACTGCGAATGAGTGTAGGCGCTTGAGTCGAAGTCGTGATGTAGGCAATTGTGTATGCAATCCTGACAGCTAAGAACGAAGCGCCAAACTTAGCAAGCTCGTTCTGCGCCAGCCCAGCCATGTTTCCTAGGATGACTGCTCCGATGAAGAGAGGGAGATTCTGTCATTGTCAGTTCGACAGCCAGATGAACAAAGGCTTTGTAGGTCCTCACCTCCATCCCGTTGGCATGACAGGCCTCCATACGCTCGTACTTGGCATAGGTTACAGCCGGTAGGCGCTGCTTGAGCTGAGCTTTCAGGTCGCTAGAACGCGGATTGCGATTGTCCCAAGTGAGGAAGTTGCCCAGCGTAGCAACATTGATAGCGAGGACGTGAGGCAGGAATGTGACTGGGCATGAGCGAGCTAGGTTAAACGACAAACTGCGCTCGACATCTTATAGGAGAGATTGTACTTACGGATGACGTAGGCTGGAATGACCAGGATTGAGGTGTTGTAGCTGTCGAAGTATGGAGACATTTTGCTTATGCAGGTGTCTGACAATTATCAAGGTGTCGTGTATTGGTGAAGGTGGAAAATGAAGGAAGTTTCTGTCACGACCTTGAGTGGTTTTGCTTCTCTGGTGAGGTCAAGTCTTTAAAGTAAGTGAGTGAGTGGTTAAGTGAGCAGACGAACACGGAGGCTCATTCCTTATTAGGACACGTGCTACAGCTTGCGATGACACTGCTCCCTGGATGCGGAAGTGGCGACTCTCTGGACGGATGCACCCAAAATTGAGCTCTTATCCCTGTGGGAACTTACGATGAAGATAGCCATTGCGATGAGCTTTTGTGAAGCTTTAGAAGTCTCGAGTATACAAACAAAAGAGCAAAGAAGAACTATTGAGAAAATGCGCAGATAACCAGGTAAGATTTTGAAATGGTTGTACAAAGCTTCTGTCAACAACGTCGCATACAAACGGGAGAACCGTGAGCCATATATACTGATTCTCTTTTGGTGTTTGAAGTTCATCTCTGCCGCTCACTGACTGTTGTGGGGCGGGATCACTTTGCTGTGCTGTCTGCCCCACCCGTTATCATACGCATCACTGCTTCTGCAACTTTTCTCTTAGACGACATATTTCTATATACAGCTCTCACTCAATCTTCAGACCCTAAAAAGACAAGTCTGCTTCGGTTCTCGTAACAAGGCCCCTACAGTACTGAACAATATCCAGCTGATCCTGATGGACATCATGGAACACAGGATACACAAAGCGTGCTCAGTTTGTTGGGGTGTATGTGGATTTGGATCAAGCAGAGAAAATCTTGATATGGCTAGGAGTAAGGAAGGTCTTACATCGCTTCTTCATCCGAAAGACATGCTTGCAGCATCGGCCAAATGTCGCATGTGTAGCTACCTGATCAATCGACTCAAGCACCGCTCAAGCATGATCAGTCCGGATGCGAGAGTCGTTATCAATGTCCGATACTTCAAGTTTAAGAACGAACTGGATGCCTGGCGTTCCGTAGATGTTCTGCAGATCCGCATCAAGTTCGACGGCGAGGACTTGCCGTGGTCGGAAACACCCTTGGGCACCTAGTGGTCCATTTTAGCTCATCGTGGTTCGTACTACGCACAAACTCCCGTATGTAGTCTTTTGTCGCAACTGACATTGCCACGATACTCAGAAGATCCTGCGGCAACAGATATCAAATGGTCTCCGGTTAATTACAACGTTGATTCCAGCGCTGAGCAAGCTAAATCATGGATCGAGCAGTGCAAGCTCCACGAACATTGTCCCGAGCTCAGGGTCCCACAGTTGCCAACAAGAGTTTTGGATATCAGCAGTGACAAAGTCCGACTGCATGTTCCTCGCAACGAGCAGCATCATTACTGCGCTCTAAGCTATAGTTGGGGTGGCCCACAACCAATACGGACGTTGACTGGGAACATAGAAAGCTACAAAGCCGGTATCGAAATCACAGGTTTGCCGCAGACGATTCAGGATGTCATCAGATTCTCGCGACAGCTGGGAATCAAGTACCTGCGGATCGATTCGCTATGCATCGTACAAGATAGCGTTGAAGATAAGCATCGAGAAATCGCAAGGATGGCAAGCATCTACCAGAATGCACTTGCCACCATAGCAGCGACAAACACATCGCGATGTACTGACGGGTTTCTCTCGAAAAGAGTCCGACCGGAACGTGAGATAATCATCGAGGATCTTCCTTGGAGTTGTGATGATGGCAGCTTCGGTCAAGTATCGCTACACTGGCAATTTTGGCGTCGTGTAGATCAGGAGCCACTCAATCAGAGAGCTTGGACTCTCCAAGAGCGTCTACTTTCTCCACGAGTGCTGTCATTCGGGTCTTATCAATTGACGTGGGAGTGTCAAACTACAAGATATACCGACGGTGGGAATCCTGGAAGTGTATACGACATGGGCATGAACAGATTAGAGTCGTACATCTTCTCTCCCTTGACAGCCTCAACGGTTGAAAAATCTCCACAAGTCATGTTCCTACACTACACATGGACAGACGCTGTTATAGATCTCAGCAAACGGAAGATCACCGAAGAAAGCGATAAGCTTCCTGCAATATCTGGTGTTGCCCAGCAAATGCATCTCATCACTGGAGATAAGTATTTAGCCGGCTTGTGGAAAGCTTTGCTCCCTTTTGAGTTGATGTGGTTACAGGATGCGGCTGCTGGGGATTTTCATCATGCTAAACGACCAACGACATATCGTGCACCATCGTGGTCATGGGCTTCCGTCGAGGGGACTGTTACCTTTTCCGGAACGTTTAAGGAAGAGAATCTAGTAGCAGAAGTCATACAATGCGACGTGCTTCCAGTGGACCCAAGCAACCTGTTTGGGGCCGTCTCTGGTGGACATTTGGTCATAAATGGACCTTTACGCTCGCTAGATGAAAACTTAACACCGGAGTATTTCCACATCAACTCTACCGACGCGCGCGAGGTATCTTTAGCCGAGATCTACCTAGACGGAGATGAGATATTGCCTTCCTCAGCTAAAACTTTGATGCCTAACGACGTACCAGGCAGCGTTCAAACCGGTCAACGTATATGGTTCTTAGATATGGCTCCCAACAAACATGGGGATCCGTTCGGCTACGTTCTTCGTCAACAAACTCAACAAAACATTCGCGTATTCCGTCGCATCGGCTGGTTTGAAAATACAACGCGAAGCATCGATCAACCATTCTGGACCCAGGATACTCCAATAGAAACAATTACCATTATTTGAAGAATCTCAGAGAGGTTTTCTACACCACACTATGTTTTGAGATCGTAAATGTCAATGCATGCTACCTAGCACAAAGCGAAGATGCGCGCCAAATTCTACTCCATTCGTATGCCACGAGGTAGTTACGTATCAGCATTTGCCGATTAAAAAGATTCTTGTCAGCCTGACAGGCATATAGCCGACAGTGGACGAAATCTTGGCTCTCCAATATCGTGTTGTACTTTGGGTTGGAGATCATCGTGCTTGGATTGTGAGGAACAATGTGGTCGGGAACAGCCCGCAACAGAGCTTCGTTGGTAACCGCAAATCCGTCGATGCCAGCTTATGCATCCATATTCTTGCTGAACAATTTGACAAACGCACACATGCAGCTAGGGCGAGAGGAAAGGATCGGATCCATTTCAAATGCCTCAAGCCAAGAGATGAGGGAACCATCGCAACTCAAACACTGCAGATCAAGAAGCGTAAAACAATAACATTGGCGAATATTCTGCAGTATGGGAAAGGAAAGCAGATGACGTGGATACGAAATGAGAATTTACTAGTGATCCTAGCTAGGTAGACCCAAGGATGGTCACGTCATCGGCTTGTAAATCGACCGACCCCGAACACCACCTCAAATCTCCTCGAAAGGACGTACAAAGGACACAGCACAAACACAACGAAGGACCTGGGGCGTGAAGAGAAGATGAGAGAATTGAAAGGAGCTAATCTTTGCATTTCGGGGTCCTCCCCGGCGACCGATACCCGCACCGGGACCCACTTAGTATAGGCTGATGCACCTTCAGATCGATCTGGTATGGTCTAGGGTACTTTCTTTTGATAGAATGCAGTGTCTACTTTCAACAACGACGACCGTAGCATCTTGGCAAGCCCAAACGCAGCAGGTTATGCATAGAGTGATGTTGGATTTTGGAAGTGCCACCTGAGCGTCCTAGGGCCTTAGCACACGATGAGTAACACCAGTGGACTTAATTTCTTCAACTGGGGCCTTGGAGACAAGGCTAGATTTTATGATCTGTAACGACAAAAGACATGCACCTGGGTGTTGACGTGCGTGGCGGCCGGGAACTAACGGTCTTGAGCCTCTTTTCCCAGATACACTAGGACTTCTCTACAGCTTGGCAGAGGGTCTACTGAAGCAAGAATAATGGAGAACTGGCTCCACGTTGCGTCACAACGTGGAGCGTGGGTTCAGTTCGTGGGTTCATCACCGAGATACATCGCCTAATGGATGACTACATTGTCGCATAGCGCAAGATATCGAGTTAAGCTTCGGTGTTACTGAGGTTACATCTTTACGATGTCTCAAAGGTGGACTAGGCTTCGAGCGTCTAGTCTTGCTCTCGACTCCAACATAAAAGGGAAGAGAAACCCAGCTTGAGGGAAAGCAAAGACAAACACTTCGACGGCAAACCATCATCTAAACATCTCATCAGTCTACCACAATCATGCCTAGCTCCTTGGATCAACCTCTCCGTACCTCGGGCATCTACCGCAACCTACCCACCTTTGATGAAAGCGTGAAGGGTCTGAAAGCCATTGTGTGCGGAGCCACTGGTATCTCAGGATTCAACACCATCCGCTCCCTTCTCGATACTCCCAATCGCTGGTCCAAGATCTACGCGCTCTCTCGAAAGCCATTCTCCAAAGACCTTCTTGCATTCTTCACCGACGAGCAGCGCGCCCGGCTCCAGCACATCTCCATCGACCTCAGCTCCAAGGGCGAGGACATCGCCAAATCGCTAAAGGATGCAGGTGTCGAAGCAGACTACGTCTTCTATTATGCTTACTTACCCCCTGGAAATGGAAAAAGTGACATGGACCCCAGCTCAGCAGAAGCCTTGATCGAAGCCAATGTCCCACCTTTCAGGAACTTCCTAGCCTCTCTACCAAAGGCTGACCTCAAGCCTAAACGTATCCTCCTGCAGACGGGAGGCAAGAACTATGGCATGCACATTGGCCGTGGACGCCAGCCAATCATCGAGTCTGACCCTCAGCCCAAACACCTCAGCCCGAACTTCTACTACCACCAAGAAGATCTTCTGTTCAAGTACTGCGAGGAGCACACTGAGACAGACTGGAACATCGTCATGCCCGCAGCTGTCATCGGCGCAGTGCAAACCGCAGCCATGAATACTTTCCTCGCATACGGTGTCTACGCTGCTGTTCAAGCACACAGGAAAGAGCCCCTCCGATACCCTGCCGACTTCCATAGCTGGGAGTCGGAGTATTCCCACTCGACTGCCCGCCTGACCGGGTACCTGAGTGAATGGGCTGTACTCGAGGATACAGCCAAATGCCAACGTTTCAACGCCCAAGACGGTGGGCACATTAGCTGGGACCGTTTCTGGAACGAGCTTGGGCGCTGGTTCGGCGCTGATGTTGTCGGTCCTGACGATGACGAGTCAAAGTACCAGAGCAAATATTTTGCTGGCGGTAAAGACTGCCCGTTAGGCTACGGTCCCCCCATCGAAGTGAAAATGGCGCATCCTCTATGCAAATGGGCTGAAGAAACGGCGGTGGAGAAAGACTGGGAGGAGATGATGAAGCAGTCCAACGGGCAGCTCACGATGAATGTGCCTGAAGCTGACAAGCAAACATTGGTGATGGCCGACTTCAGTTTTGCTTTCCTTGGTACGCTTTCAGGGAATAAGGTGCGCAGGTTTGGATTTAACGGGTTTGTAGACACGATGGAGAGCATCTTTGAAACATATCAGGATATGGCTAAGTTGGGTATGTTGCCACCCATGAAGGTGGATTCTTGCAAGCCGCTGGCGTAGGTACAACTAGTGTCTGCCATGACAAAAAATTTCCTTCATAGGATTCGAATTCGAACAGGACTACTATAGGCATTTCAGCTACATAGCAATCATCGTGCTCAACACTCGTCTACATCAAATCCTTTGTTCGCTCTTCACTCTCCTTGATCCACTGATCCAGTAACTTCCTGTTCCTTGGCTTGAACCCGACCTTGAAATATTTCGGCTCCATTGTCAGACTGGTGGGGATAGCGTTTGCCTCCAAGCAGTCCATGACAGGCTCATCCCGCGGGTCCACTGGTGGCGTGAACTCGAAAGCCGATATCAGCCTTACGAACGCAGTGAAGAGTTCGCGGTTGGCGAGATGCGAACCAACGCACATGCGCGAGCCAGCGCCATATCCGTAGTGTGGTGTTCCCGCGCCATCAGGAACGTCCAGATAGCGCTCCGGGTCAAACTCCTGTGGATCCTTGAAGTGTTCCGCGTCATAATCGGCGGCGTATGCGTTCATGTAGAATGTTGTTCCCGCTGGTATGTTGACGCCGTTCCATTCGATATCTTTGATTGAAACTCTAGGTAAACAGATAGGAATGACGGTCCAGTATCGCAAAATTTCCTTATATAGCGCAGTGATATATGGAATCTTCTCCTCGTGGAGACAGCGTTCCCATGCGTCGTTGTTGGGATAGACTTTCATAATCTCTTCGTATGCGCGTCGCTGGATCTTCTGACCTTTCGGAGTTGCGAGGTATGCAATACCCATGATGAGGTTACCTGGGACGGTGTCGAGACCTGCTGATACCATGGTCAAGCAGATGGACTTGATCTCGGCTACTATGTGTTAGCATAAACAAGACTAAAAGCGAGACGCTTTTGATGTACCTCTATTCAGCTTCGCTTCTGGATCTTTCAAGATATTGCCGGTAATGCACGGCTTATCCGTCCCCTTCTCGATCTTCTCTGTCAGGGTGTTGAGCAGTCGATCCATGTACACATCTCTCCTCTCTCGGAAGCTGATCGCTTCATTGCTCTGGCTGGGGAACAGTCTCAAGAGTGGCACATAGTCCTGCCAGTTGTTGCTCGTCGACCGGAAGTTTCCGACACCACGCTCAACATCTACAATCTCTTGAAGCAGAGGTGCGTCCTTGTTTCCGTCTATCCGGTATCCATAGTTCAGTGTCAGACTTGTGTTCAAAGCATATCTTTGCCAGTATGCTCGCGGATCAATATCGATTTCTCCACCCTTGCTGTCGTGTAGCAGTTCTTTGATAGAGACGGTAGACTCTAGATCTATGAGTGGCATGTAGGACTGTACGGCAGGGCGGTTTAGAGCTGTAGCAGCAGCCTTGCGACGATTCTTGCACGACTCATCCCATGGCGAAGTACCAATGGTAAAGCCCTGGGAGGAAGACACGACTTTGTGGAAGGTGTGAAGCATGGGTCTAGAGATCATTGCGGACTGGTTCGTGATCCAGAGATGGCGGACGGAGTCGAAGGAGTTCGCAAATACGATCCTCTAGATAACTGTATTAGCACTAACGATCCTTTCAGAGTGTTCTCTGTCTGCAAAGACTATGGCTTACCCTATTTCCCATCCTCACCTGGAAGACGGGGCCGTACTTCTTTGCCCATCCTTGGGCTACTTTCGCGTGGTTCGTGCCGAGTTCGTACAAGCTTCCGAAGAGAGGAAGACCAGGGACTTCTGGCAGTCCCTTGATATGGGGTGTGTCCGTTCCATATAGCAATTTATACAAGAAGAACCCCAAGACGGCAACGCCAGCGATGTAGATGGGGATAGTCATGATGTTGGAGAAGCTCAACGTCTATGACAAGACGCGAAAGAAGTAAGAGAAGAAAACCTGTAAGTCAGAAAGGAGCTCAAGCCTTCGGTAGCACTTATAGCAGCATGATACCTCCAGTGCCATGCGCTTTGTCTTGAGAGGAAATCCCTAGCCTGACGCGGCGTCCCATGGTCAGGCTCAGCATGATTAGCTTCCGTTTGACTGGCCATCAGCGATCCAAGCATTGGATTCAACGAGGTAGCTCCGTCGCTGCGGGGCAGCCGTCTTGGATGTCATCGTGCGCAGAAGCTTGTGTGGTTTGTAGCGGAATTATGCCGCGAACGATGGTGTTGATGTTAGCGCGACGGTGCGGAGACGGGACGCGTTATGGATAGGCTAACCTCTTCAGGACGGGATAATGGGTACAACAAACTTTCGGTGGGACGATGGAGCAGCTTTGAGCCAAGTTCAACTATCGAGGCAGCGGAAAGAGCCTCAGACTTGCGCGTTGGTATTGCAAACTTTTTCAGAGCTACACAAGCTACTTTCCAGTCCCCCCCGATCCTCGGGTCCGCGGAAGCCTGTAAAGGTTGAGCATGTTAAGATTATGCCGAATGCCGAGTGCTTCAGATGTTAAAACAGCAAAGTGCTACCAGGGGAGGCTTAAGTTCCTCCAGCGCATCTCAATCATGCTATGACGTATGCTATGTTGTGGAGATGCGAAAGGCCTGTAGTTAGCGGAATCTTTCCTTCGCACGATACATCGAGGGATCAGCACATGCGACAATGCTAGTCCAGTTCGCAGAAAGCTCGGGAATTAAGAAACTATAGTACTCCAACATCGATTATGTGGAGTTGACTAAAAACGAGCCTGGTAGAGAAGCCCTAGCATCGCACAGTGGTAGTACTGTTCTATCGCATCAATCAGTTAGAGGACTTCATGTGCTGCACCTTGACGGTCAAAAGTATGAATCCACATATTTCGAGGTGCTCAAGCAAAGTTTAGCTTCAAAGCAGGCTCAATGCGACCAATACACTCTCCAAAGCCAACCAAAGCCTCCTCATCCGAACCACATACACCTCGGATTGTGATCTCATCCCCGTCCTCCAAGAATGTCCTCTCTTCACCACCTTCTAGTGCGATAGACTCTTTACCATTGTTACTCTGCTCCAGGAAGCTTCCATACTCAGCCGGAGAATTACCACTGATGGTACCAGAGCCCAACAAGTCGCCCGGTTGGAAAGGGCATCCCGTGATCGTATGATGTGTCAACATCTGTGGGAATGACCACAACAGATTTCGTGCATTCACTTTCGATATCGTTGTTGTGTTGCCAGATGCCGCTGAAGATGATTAGCGTGTGATACTCAAGATGGTACGCGTGTGGACATACTCTTGACATCAACTTGGAGGTTGATATCGTATACACTCTTTTCGCTCTTCTCCTTCAAGTAGGGTAGCACCTCCGAGTCGTTGTCCAATCCCTTTGTTTTGAACTGTTCTAGTGCGTCCGCGAGTACAACCCAAGTGCTGATTGTGGTGCCGAAGTTCTTCGCATTGAAGGGCCCTAGAGGCACGTATTCCCATGCTTGGATGTCTCTCGCTGACCAGTCGTTCATGAGTACAACACCGAACAAGTTCTCCTCAGCCTTCTCAATTGGTATTGGCACTCCTTGCTCATTGGAACCACATACAAAAGCTCCCAGTTCTAGCTCAATGTCCAGCTTCTTGCACGGGCTAAAAGCAGGCACCTTCTTCTCCGCAGTAGGATCGAGCAGTATCTGACCATTGGGCCGCCGAATGGGAGTTCCAGATGGAACCACTGAAGATGCTCGACCGTGGTAACCGACTGGAAGATGCTTGTAGTTCGGTTGCAGCGCATTCTGGGGACCTCTGAAGATGACGCCGCAGTTGTAAGCATGGTTCATACCCGCGAAAAAGTCGGTATAATCACCAATCCTGAATGGCAAATGTGCTTTGATTTCTTTTAGCGGTATCAGGGCTTGCTTCTGAAGTGCAACATTATTCTTCAGGACGTCCGGGTATGTCGTGTCCACAGAGAAGACACCTTGGATATACTTCCGAACCACGGAGTGAATTGGCCGACCAAGTGCTGCAAAAGCGTTCAGCGACGATTGTGAGAATACAGCTTGATGCGGCTGTATTGTTGAGAGCCCTGAGAAGCCATTGTTTGCGGCAAAGACTTCGAGATCCAGAGCGTGATCTCCAATGGCGACTGCGACCCGCGGTGACTTGGATGATGCTGTTGAAATGACACCAAAGGGGATGTTCGCTAGTGAGAAGTGCGATCCACGAGGTATGCTAAACCAGGATCGCAGTGAAGCCATGATGGATGTCTGTTGTAGTAGCGGCAAATGCTCAACAACTTCACATACAATAGTTTCGCCCCGACAATTGATATGATGACCAAGGCTCACAGAGACTAAGGAGTATCCCAGGATCGGGGTTTCGGCCCCATGGTCGCAATTCTCAGGGCCATGTGGTGCTTGGGATGCATTCCCGGCTTGTGACGGAAGAAGGATGCAGGCGGGCGCGGGAAGATTCCGTCACTTGCCAACATACAGGGGCCACCCGCTCTCCACTTGTGGGGTAAGCCGACACGAGCGCTCTCGATGGCGCATCTCTTCTCCGCTTTGCTCTTGCGACGCGACAAACGACGGAATGCGAAGCCGCCCATTACCGCATCTCGCGATTTCGCGCCTGCGCCATGGCCGAGCGAAAGCTTGCTACGGCTACTGCGACCCTGCATGCCCGCAGCATCCGCGAAGGATATTTACACGTCTAGCACCTCGGTGCGCGTACTGAATCGTTGTTTACTACAGTCTGCGAAGAAAGTCCCCCAAAGTTGACTGATCCTGTGTGAATAAACAGCACAATGCCGTCTACTCAGTTCGCCTTTAAGGAGAAATACCGATACCAGAATGGCTTCAACTCCTACCATGAGTATGGCTAGATGACCTTGGCCTATTAATTTCTACTAATAACATATAGGACTGAAGCAGTAGAGGGCGCGCTGCCAATCGGCGCAAACTCTCCTCAAAAACCTCCATATGGCCTCTATGCCGAGAAGCTCTCAGGCACTGCCTTTACAGCCCCGCGTCACGAAAACCAGCAAACATGGCTCTACCGCATCCTACCCTCGTGCGGACACAGCAACTTCGAACCTCGCGAGTCGAAAACTTTCAACACGAACCCCGAGAACAAACCTTGGGAGAAGATACACTACATTCCAAATCAGCTACGATGGGACCCTTTCGATCTCGATGAGACGGTAGACTGGGTGCACTCACTACATTTAGTGGCTGGTGCTGGTGACCCTACAATGAAGTCGGGTGTTGGATACTTCATCTATGCGGCAGGGAAAGACATGGAGGCTAATGAGGCCTTCTACTCGGCTGATGGCGACTTCTTGATCGTGGCCCAACATGGCGTGCTTGACATCCAAACCGAGTTGGGTCGCCTCATCGTACGTCCCAACGAGATATGCGTCATACCGCGAGGCATTCGGTACCGTGTCACGTTGCCAGAAGGTCCTGTGCGAGGCTACATCTTGGAGCTATATCAAGGCCACTTCACACTCCCTGAGCTGGGACCTATCGGCTCCAACTGCCTCGCCAACGCGCGAGACTTCCAAGCGCCCATAGCCGACTTTGATGAAGACACCGAAACGGAATGGAGCATCCTCGCCAAGTTTGCCGGACATCTCTACGCCGCGAAGCAGAGACACACGCCGTTCGACGTGGTCGCATGGCATGGACTCTACTACCCTTACAAATACGATCTTGGGCGCTTCAACACCATAGGATCCATCTCGTTTGACCATCCAGACCCGTCCATATTTACCGTTCTCACTGCGCCAACAGACCGGCCTGGCACAGCAGTAGCCGACTTTGTCATCTTCCCGCCACGGTGGTTAGTTGCTGAGGGCACATTCCGGCCACCATGGTACCACCGCAACACCATGTCAGAGTTCATGGGACTTATTGGTGGCCAGTACGACGCGAAGACTGGTGGAGGTTTCCAGCCCGCCGGTGCTTCTCTTCACAATGTCATGTCAGGACATGGACCTGATGCTGCGACTCATGAGAAAGCATCTAATGTCGATCTGCAACCCAACAAGGTGGGTGAGGGAAGCATGGCGTTCATGTTCGAGAGCTGTCTTATGATTGGCGTGACGGATTGGGGTCTCACAAAGTGCCAGAAGATACAAGAGGGCTACAATGCGGAAAGCTGGGAGCCATTGAAGCCGCATTTTAAGAGGCCTGGTCCTAAGAAGATTGATAACAGCGTCTCACCGCTGGCGGCAGGATCCGAGGGCGATAAAGGCCAAGTGCCTCACTATACCTGAGCTCGACAAGAGCGGAGTGTTGTACTTTTAGCGTTTGGACGTGGTTGATCAACTCGGTGATATTCGGTGCTTACGAACGAGCTTACTGCATTCGTATCGAGAAGGTGGCGCGTCGCAAATGCTCAACAGGGTGTCGTTTCATGCCCCGCAGCGTGAGGTTTGAAGACAGGATGAACTGGACCATGTGTACGCGCATCTATGGATGTGCTATGGATGCTACCAACTAAAACCAAGGTCTACTGCACGTTTTTCTCCAATCGCATCAATAGACTTATCAACGCGTCCTAGTATTGTTCTCGGGCGGTGAGTTGTCTTCGTCCAGTAAACTGCCGATGTGGAGCAAAGTCTAAGGGTCCACTAGCGTCAACAACTGCTAGAGCGCGGGGCTATCTCTCCCACTTTTCTCCCTCGAACGTTTGTTTCTTCATCCTCCTCACACTCCCTCTCCCTTCTCTATACCCCCAATACATCACAACAAACCGCCAGAATGTCTGCCCCCGCCCACAAGTTCAAGGTTGCCGACATCAGTCTTGCGGCGTTCGGTCGCCGCGAGATTGAGCTCGCCGAGAACGAGATGCCTGGTCTGATGGAGACTCGCCGCAAGTACGCTGAGGACCAGCCATTGAAGGGTGCCCGCATTGCTGGATGTCTTCACATGAGTATGCTACACCCCCGTCTCACTGCGATTGCACACCGCTAACCCGTCGCAGCCATCCAGACTGCAGTCCTCATCGAGACGCTCAAGTCCCTCGGTGCTGAGCTCACCTGGACATCCTGCAACATCTTCTCCACCCAGGACCACGCTGCCGCCGCCATTGCCGCCGCCGGCGTACCTGTCTTCGCCTGGAAGGGCGAGACTGAGGAGGAATACGAGTGGTGCCTTGAGCAGCAACTCACTGCTTTCAAGGATGGCAAGAGCCTGAACTTGATCCTCGACGACGGTGGCGACCTCACTGCCCTCGTCCACAAGAAGTACCCTGAGATGCTCAAGGACTGCTACGGTGTCTCCGAGGAGACCACCACCGGTGTCCACCACCTCTACCGCATGTTGAAGGGCAAGGGTCTCCTCGTCCCCGCCATCAACGTCAACGACTCCGTCACCAAGTCCAAGTTCGACAACTTGTACGGTTGCCGTGAGTCTCTCGTCGACGGTATCAAGCGTGCCACCGACGTCATGATTGCTGGCAAGGTCGCCGTCGTCGCTGGTTTCGGTGATGTCGGTAAGGGTTGCGCCCAGGCTCTCCACAGCATGGGTGCCCGTGTCATTGTCACTGAGATTGACCCCATCAACGCCCTCCAGGCCGCCGTTTCCGGCTTCCAGGTCACCACCATGGAGAAGGCCGCTCCTCAGGGTCAGATCTTCGTCACCACCACTGGTTGCCGTGACATTCTGACTGGCGCCCACTTCGAGGTTATGCCCAACGACGCCATCGTCTGCAACATCGGTCACTTCGATATCGAAATCGACGTTGCATGGCTCAAGAAGAACGCCAAGTCCGTCACCAGCATCAAGCCCCAAGTCGACCGCTACCTGATGAACAACGGCCGCTACATCATCCTCCTCGCTGAGGGCCGTCTCGTCAACTTGGGATGCGCCACTGGCCACTCTTCCTTCGTCATGTCCTGCTCCTTCACCAACCAGGTCCTTGCCCAGATCATGCTGTACAAGGCCTCTGACGAGGAGTTCGGCAACAAGTACGTCGAGTTCGGCAAGACCGGCAAGCTCGATGTCGGCGTCTACGTTCTGCCCAAGATTCTCGACGAGCAAGTTGCTCTTCTCCACTTGGCACACGTCAACGTTGAGCTTTCCAAGCTCAGCGATGTCCAGGCCGAGTACCTTGGTCTCCCTGTTGAGGGTCCTTTCAAGAGCGACATCTACCGTTACTAGATTTCTTACTGTACAGCGTTTGGGAAGTTTCAACACGACGTTATGATACCACTTCGAAAAGTTCTTTGTCTTCAACGGCATAGCATCGAGCCCGGGGCTCGGCGGGGTTTCAAAAGGCGTTGGTTTGCACATCATCACTTGACCCTTCAACCATGGTCAATACCGAAGATGATACCCTATGTAAGAGTGCGACATGGATGAGATAGACTGCGTTTTTAAACGCAGCGCAAGAACAGTAACAGTGCACCGAATTTAACGGTGGACTGAGGAATGAACAATAACGGCGGGCCTCCATGCCCACGTCGACAACAACTTTTTTTGACTCATGATGTCTTCTGTGATGAACGTGCAGCTACACAAACCCACTCCCTCTCCCCAGCTCCAAAGATATGCAAGAGTATCCCTTGAGCCGTTTCTGACGTATTGACGTCTGCAGTGCATGTTCAACCTCAAACGTTGTTCATTATCGTCCTCCACATCCATGCTGTGTTGCACGCATACGTCAAACCCAACAGCCGATCGTACACACAACGTTGCCCAACGTTCCAGTGTGACCGCTAGACGCATGTTCTACCTTTGACATCGGATCGGACATTTTGCTGCATGCACGCCCCATCGACCAGACGCTTCCCGCTCAGCGTACACACCACGCAGGATGTAGTATGTAATGCATGGGGTCAAGATGCATCGGCCCGCCACGCCTACGCGTAGCAACGTGTCGTCCGCTCATACATTAGTATGCCCGACACTTTTGCTGCTGTGACCTAGACTTCCGAGGACGAAAACGCTGAATTTCGATGTATCAGATTGAGAAGTAGCTTTGTCCATATTGCGATGTGGAAGATGACGGTTGCTATAGTGTCTATTGGGTTATTATGCACGGAGATCCGAATACCAACTCACATCGCCATACCAGGGAGTTTTCTTCTTGTTCATGATAGCGAGCTGCATCTAGAGTTTCCTTAGGTTGTTAGTAGAAGGCTCCTGTGGTCATGCTCCTGAAATCATGTACGAAATCTTATGAACAGTTCACAGGACTTCCATCCTTGTTTCAATTGACAAAACTGGTTGTAGAATAGATGATATGCAGAACCAATGAACCCGGTCATAAAGTTACGAGTGCAATGCCCAATAACCAAACGACAATACGCCCTGTCCCTATATCATCTCCCTTCCACAACATGTCACTTCCCCAATCCATATTGGTCTCATATCCCACAGCCACGACATGAAATTTCCATGCAGCCACCACGCTGTGCCTTTCCTTCCCCACGCGCACAGCATGCAAGGTACGAGGTTACGGTACCGAATTCAGCCTCACATGTCACAATGTCTTAGCTGCCCCTCCCCTCTTCTCTTGTGGCGTCATAAGCTTTTCCATCCGCAAACTAACCCCACATCGAGAAATGCTGTGTTCCTGTTGAACAGCTGGGATCCCCAGGCTTCCTCTTTCACCACACTTTCCCTCTTCCTCTATCGAACCAGGTATCTGGGACCACGACATAACTTCTGAGGCTGAGTGACACGAAAAGTTGGACTGCTGCTAATGAGTTGAGTTCTGACGAGAAATGTAGGGCATGGATGGGATTGAGAAAATGGGATTTACTGACAAGAGATATTACAATTTACTGCGGGCCTAAATTCTCCGCTTGCTGCCGCTACTACTACTGCTATACAAAGCATATGTACGTCCTTACCCGTAGATTATCTTAAAAGGAAAAACAATGTAATTCAAGAAGCCCTTATGATGCCAACGCTTGCTATGGGATGGAGAGCATCTGCCTTAGTCTCCATAGGTGATGATGAACCAAAGTAGAGAGGTATCAAGAACAATAGGAAACGATGAGCCAGCCGGTGCTTTTCATCGGCGGTAGTGATGCCGCGATTGAAACGTCAAGAGTAAACAGGGAAACGCCACCAAGGTCAAGAAAAGATACGCCACACGTAGCGGGGGCCCTGACGAAAGCCTTAGCGAAGGCCGATAACGCTCTAGAATGTTGTCAGTGGAAGTTGTGCTTGCAGATTAGAGCAACCGTACCATTTCGAGCGTCCAGACTCTCCTTATCCACACCTTGAGCTTGCCTTCGACACCTCTAACGTTGTCGAGCTCAACACCTTCCCACCAGCAGCGGCGAGCGGGTTTCCTCCAGAAGAGGAGCAGCTTCTGCGCCATACCAACAGCGTTGCTATTAGCAAGATCGTTACCCTTAATGTCCGTTCTCAGGCGTGCAAGGGCGATGCTGCAAATGACGGCTTTGTTAGGCTCGCCGGCACGATGGCCCCATCGGTCGTCGTGGTTGAAGCCGCTAGATGTTGTTAGCTGCTAGTCTCTACTTTGCCCGTATCTTGCTTACCCTGCGGTCAACATCTCGATGAGGTGCTGCTCGGTCGTTCCTGGTTCTTCGCTCTTCCTGAGGCCGGAGAAGATACCATCTTGTCTTAGCAGTGCCTCACCTGCAGCTCGCTTAACTTCAATCATCTCAGGCTGAGTTATATCGCGGTGCGGCGGGATAGCGTAGAAGTCGAGGTCCTCGCGAAGGACAATTATACCAGCGCGATCCTGTAGCATGTCCCTAGCGGAGCCATGCATAGGCTCGATAGGCACAGCTTCAGCAGCATGGTCGGGAGCAGCGGTCGGCGAAGGAGGAGACGCGGGAATGGTCTGGGCTACAGTGCGGAAGAACTCCAACATGTACTGTAAAGAGTTTGGATCATACTGTGAAGGATAGATATTGTCAGATAAATATAATGCGGGGTTGGAAAGGTGGTACAGGATCTTAGCTGCTGGAGCCAAGGGAATGGAAGGGGAAGAAGAAGAAGTGGGGTTACCAACGTCGACTGGGTATACATCTCCATCGTGGTAGGAGTTCATGTGCCCATCTGGGAGCAGGCCATTGGGAAAGAGGGAGAGGAGGACGAACTCAGGGAGAGTCAGAAGCTCGTCTCGCGACAGAGTGAACCGCGTGCCCCTAAATCTCGAGTTAGCTTCCAGTATCGTGTGTGGTGAGCGGTGTCACTACCTCAATTCCAAAGTAATGTTTTCATCTGATCCACCGAGTGTGTTGATTGGCGGTCCTGCGTTTGTTGTTTGCGACACCTGAGTAATGATACTCGCGGGACCTCCTGCGGATGCCATTACGTATGTGAAAGACTCGAGCGGGCTTGATCCTTCGCTGTAGGGCGGCGGTGGTTCTCCGTCGTCGACGTCTTTGCTACTAGAGCCGTCTTTGGAGTCGGATGGGAGGGCGGCTTTAGTGGCAGCTACGGCGGCAGCAGACGAGGATGACTCGGTAAAGGCAGGCGTAGATGTGAATGCGGGAGGCGATTCGTCTTCTGTGGTTTCACAGAGCTTGCTGCGTTCCTCAGCGTCCTCGGACGGGAAGAAGAGGGAGGAGAAGGGAGGTGGGTAGGGTGATTCGCCGGCTGTCGTCAATGCTGCGGTGCTGCTGGCGGGCGCGGTGACGGCGTAGGGCGGACGAGAGGAGTCGCGATCGGTGGGATTCGGATGCAAATGAGTGACTACGGACAAGCCGTCTGTACTGGAGTTCTGCGTGCGCGACAAGGTGCCGGTGGTTGTGTATTGGACAAGACGGATGATGAGCTCGAAGGGGCAAGCGCGCTAGTAGCCGCTGTCAATTAAACCTGAGCGCGTGGGCACCACGAGGCAGCTACGCGCATTTAGGTGGAACAGAATTCGAGGTGAAAGGGACGCAAGTGTTTGCTTGCTGTGCTGCGTGGGAGATGTGGTGCGTGTGATGAGGTACGATGGACGCGGAGAGTGGTTATTGAGTCCAGGCGTTTGGTTTGGGTCTAGCGTGCCTTCCAACTTTCGAAGGGCAGGCACAATGGAGTGAGTTGTTACCACCGGCATAGTAATGCAACACCAAGACTTGTAACTGCAATCTGGACCGAAGCATGTCTCAAAGAGGCTCAATTTTCTCGAGCATGGATAAGTGTTCATTACTGTCACATATGTAATATTTTCAACCCGTCTCTAGTGTTTCGCTACTACTCCCGCATCGTTTGCTTGCGCTGTGATGCGGCGCTTGTAATCTTTGACAGTACCGTCAAAGTGCTCAATCGTGCCGTTATCACACACCCACAAACTTGTGCATACATTCTGCAACATGGTAACGTCGTGACTGACCATCAGTACACCACCCTGGAACTTGTTCAGAGCATCCGAAAGCGCGTCCATGGCTTCAATATCCAAGTGGTTAGACGGCTCGTCAAGCACAAGGATGTGCGGGTTTTGTAACGCGAGGCACGCAAAGGCAACGCGCGATTTCTGACCTCCTGACAGTAACTCCATCTTCTGCAGACCTGTCATACCCGTAATACCAAAGGCACCGAGGTGACGACGATACTCTTCATCTGCTCGTCCGTGGTACGTCTTTGACATGAAGCCAACGGCACTGTCATTCAGATCCAGTGCGTCAACGTGATGTTGCGCGAAGAATCCTACGCGCAATCGTGGGTTTTGCGAGATGATACCAGTGGTGGGTTGAAGAGCTCCTATAAGAAGCTTCAATGCGGTTGTCTTTCCGGCACCGTTGGGTCCCACAATACCAATACGGGAGTCGAGTTGCACATCAAGGTCCACATTCTTCAGCAGAATCTTGTCAGGGCTGTATCCAAAGGTGACGCCGCTCATCTGAATGATAGGAGGCGACATCTTCTCCACTTCTGGGAACTTAAAGTGCACTGAGTATGCTGCCTCTGGGGGAGTAAGAACAGGCATCTTCTCCAGCTTTTTGATCCTAGATTGGGCCTCAGAAGACTTAGCGGCGTTATATCGGAACTTGTCGATGAAAGCCTGCAAATGCGCACGCTCGGCCATCTGTTTTTCATACTCGCGAACCGCTGTCTTGCGACGCTCTTCCTTGGTCGCGTAGAACGAGTCAAAGTTACCACCCTTGTAGTAGTCGAGTCGTTCAGAGTGTTGATGAATGATATCGGTTGCTACTTCGTTCAAGAAGGCTCGGTCGTGGGATACGACAAGTACGGTGCTTGGGTAACCCTGAAGGTAGTTCGCTAAGAAGGTGATAGAGGGGACGTCCAACATGTTCGACGGTTCGTCGAGCAATAGCAGATCAGGTTCACAGAAGAGCGCACGTGCAAGTGCCAGACGCATCCTCCATCCTCCAGAGAACGTCTTGGTCGCGAATTGCTGTCGCTCTTGTGAGAAACCAAGACCTGCGAGGATACTTGCTGCTCGAGACTCAGCCTTGTCTGATTCCATTTCGGCGAGCTTGGCATGTATGTCGCTCAAAGTAGTATCTAGACCCTCGCGCTGAGTGTCGAGCTTGGCGGCATCTGCAGAAGTATCTGCCATTTTAGCACGCTCTTCTTCAAGCTCAGCTAGCTCCTTGCTAATCTTTTCTTGCTCCCTAAGGAGATGCTTGCGCCAAACGTCGGCGTCCAAGACAGCTTGCAGCGCCGGAGTGTCATCACCAGTAATCTGTGTCCAAAGTCAGTTTTTGCAAATAGAGATGGGGATGCTGACAAACCTCCTGTTCCACATGAAGAATCGAGATGTGAGTAGGGATAGCGACCTCACGGCGAGCAAGGGCGCGAAGCAAAGTGGATTTACCGATACCGTTTTGACCTACCAGACCGTATCTACGGCCATATGCGAGCGTGAGAGAGCTGTCGGTAAGGATACGTAATCCAGGCATAGAGATATCAAAGCTGTCAATCTTGATATCCTTGCTCTTCGAGGCAGTGTCACCCAATTGCAGTGGGTTGACGGCCATGTAGAACTCTTCATAGCTCTGCGCCTCGTTGGGCTCGTTGAGAAGTCGGGAGGCTTCATACTCAACATTCTTGAACTCTTTACGGTCTTGCTTAGCACGGAGTTTACGTTCAGCTTTCTCGAGCTTCTTGCGGTCGACTCTGGATTCGACTTTACGTGTGTTGGCAGACTCGAGATCAACGGCGCCACCAGCGAGACCTAGCGTGGAGGAGATGTTCCTGGAAGAGCCCACGTGGATAGCCTGGTCGAGTTTCTTGGCTGAAGGTGCCATCTGGCGGCGCTCGCCGTCGGTGCCATTGGCGGCATTCAGGCGGGAGATGAACTTGTCAACAAGGTTTTGGATACTCGTCTCATTCTGGCTTGATAGATCTCCAGAGGCTGATAGGAGCAGGGCGCTCACAGTGGCAGCAGCTTCCTCGAGCGGTGAGGGGGCATTGGGGTCCGAGTCGGAAGTGAACTGGTTGGCGGCATGGGTAAGGTACCCCGCTGAGTACTCTGACAGGACGGGGTCAATGTTAGGGATTTGAGTTCTGATTTCAGCTTCCATGGTCGCGGGCTGGCGGTAGATCCTGGGTGGCGCGTTGTCCGACAAAGTCAACGTCTGCCGCAGTCGATGTCACGGTGGCGCTGGCCTGGTCGGCGAGCGGGCAATACTATCGTACTATCGAGACTTTTCCGGTAGTCACAGTGTAATAGCGGGGCAGTGGGCGGTCTCTGCTTATTGCGGTGCTACGGCTGTTTGTCCAAGGCAAAGAACATTTTGACGTGGGGAGCCAAATGTGGCGTGGCGGCGGTTCTGGAAGGAGCGGGCGGCGGCCAATCAGGGCATCGACGCCGTCAGCCCATCAAACATGACAACCCATCTCTGCGTTTGTGGACTGGCAGAGCTGGCGGATCTGCACCACGCGTCTGGAGGCGCCTTAGCAATGATGTGCTTCTGGGATTGTCCCGGTTACTCGCATCTTTGTGTGCCCGCAGGACAGCACGCATCGCACAGTCACCTTGGGCTCTGCACCGCACAGCTCGCCCAGCAAGCCGTCTGCCAGATGAGCTCCAACGTGCGGCCGCTATGCCTAGAGGGAGGGGCACAACGGCCTCGATAGTCTGCCAGAGCGTCTGGAGTCTATCCTGACCGTGGTAGTCATGCTCCAGCTGCCTTGGGCCGGACACGGAGCCGCCTTGGCTACGGCATGCAACCTGTGATGTGGCCATGTCGTTTGATTTGGCCTCAGAAAAATCATGTTCAGAACCACAGATGGCTACAGGCCCGTGGTGGATATATCATGCCGTGCGCGCATTTGCCGGAGATATCCCCCGAGTGCAGAATTCGCTGCCTCAGTCACCATTTCCGTCCCATCCTCAACCCATGTTCCCGCTGCTCACGACTTCTCCGCTCTGGGGCTGACGTGCTGTGCGTTTCGGCTATCCAGGATCGTGGCCATGAGCAGCTTTCCCACAAGGGCAATTGGTGCCCGAAACAGCCGATTCAACAAATATCTATACGGCAAGGCCATGCTCGTAGGTACCAAGGTCTCTCTGCCGTTGACTCTACCGAGTGCTCGTGAGGTAACATGCGATAGCTCCGTGGCTGCACAGTCTAAGGCACGCCTTCGCTACCACCGATGGACTACATAAGCCGGTTGACACTTGCGTACGCCGCGATCAGCAAACATCTCCACTGCACTACAGGGGTCTCTCCAGGCAGTTCAGCGGCCGGCTGCCAATCACCGTGTGTTGTGACGGGCGCCCGGGATGCTCGCTGGTACACTATATTTGGGTAGCTCTGACGGCAGAGGGGTTCTTCCAGCCTCTCTGCGCCATGTCCCTGATTGTTGTTGATTGTTACTCGGCGCTAGAGCTTGTCCTAGGCCGACTCGCGCAACGTCGTGGTACTGGGCACCGCGCACCGCAGCGGGCCCTCACTGTCCATGGATATAGATTTCTTGCTTGGGCACGTCGCATCGCATGCAGCATTGGTTGATGAGATTGACTTTGCACGCAGCGTGGAGCTATGACGGTGCAAAGTGAGGCATGGGGTCTGTGTGCCTCCGTGTTATGTTTCGAGTCGAGCTGCCGCTATCAGCCCTCATCGGCGACATCTCGCTAATCCAAAGAGAGCTGGGTAGCCCTGTACGTAGATCCCAGAAGCAACAAGCACTGGATTCTCTTCAGTCTTCCGCTCGCTCCTCGTCGAGCTCCACCTCTCTGCTTCAGCCCGTCGCGGTGCTTGTGCCGTCCTTCCTTTACTACGCTTCGTAATGCAGTACGCCTGCCCCAGCGCCTGATTGAGCCCCTCCACTCCCACCGTCCCTACTCGTGCAGCTCGCGATCCCTGGTTCACCGGCACCCTGACATGCCATAATGCTCGACAAGTCGTCACAAGCGCCTCGACGAGTGACCTTTCCCCGGCGGCTTGGTTTCCTACGAGAATGAAAACGATTCCAACGGTAATTACCCTGCATTTTCTCTATCTCAAAGTCCGTGGATCTTCTGTACGCGCTGCAGCTGCCCTTGATTTGTTTTGATATGTCTTGATCGACACCTCTACTGCGTCTAATCCGAGAATGGCTGCACCAAGCCTGTCCTGCCTCAATATACCTCTGTTATAAGAAGTCTGACTAGGCGCCATGACTGACGGACCCTTGTGATACAGCTCTGTGCCACTGCCACTGTCGTTGGTACATCCTCTGTCGGCTTGGCCTTTGGACGAGAGGCCCCCTTCGACTCGTCGCACCTCAATAAGAAGAAGGCGACACCGGCATTCGAGCCGGGTCTTAACCCAATGTCTACTGCTGCCATGACCACGACTGCGCCTTCCTACAGTGCCCCCATACCCGTCGCCCCTTCCTCGCGCATGTCATTTGCGAGTCGACTCAGCCAGGAAGGCCGTTCCCAGTTGCGAATCGTAAGGAGGAAGACGAGCGACGATGCGGCGCTGCAATTGCCGAGCAGCGCAAACAACTACCCTTCGAGCGAGCAGAGTGTGTCTGACGTGGACACGACAAGATACGTGCCTACGCGACGAGCCTCGTGGATCAAGCGCCTCTCGTCTATTTCCAACTCATCGAGCCGGGCTACGAGCCCATCTCCACTGTCACCAGCCGTCTCGTGTTCCAATGGCTCAATGGCCTTCTCGCACGACGGCTCGACCGTGCCCGTAATCGACAAACGCTCTACGTCAGCAGTACCGCGCAACAAGCTGGTCAAGCGCGCCTCGTCAGTGCGCGGGCCCCGTGAAGCGCCTGTCTTGGGCTCTGCGACTCTCCGACCGTCCTTCCGTCGTCCAGCGACCAGCCACCAACGCAACGCAACACTGCAAAACTACGGCGCGCGCCTATCCATGACGGCCGAACACACTTCAACAGACGAACAACAGACCTCAGCGAGCACCGACAGTGAGGTCGAATACACACAGTTTTTCACAGCGAGGATCACCAAGGAACGGACACTGGCGAGGCGGCGTGGTTCAGTGGCATATGCAAATGGGTTCAAGAGGATATTTCCAGACGAGAAGCACAAGCCTATGCTCGTGCTCGCAAGATCGGTCGTAGCAGGCGTAGAGGATATGGACGACTCGACAAGCGACGATGCCGAAAGCGTCTTCTTCGTGAGTCGACCAGAGACGCCACTTAGCATGGCGGCCACGTTTGCTACCAAAGTAACAAACCAAACTCGCGGTCGGCCCTCCACATCACAACCCGAGAATGCCCCCAGACCTAAACGCTCCTTCTCCATCACCTCCTTCCTCTCATCCAGGAAGGAGCGAACTGTCGCAGTGCCCGGACCCAAACTTTCCCGCCGTGCAACCCAGCGGGTCAACTCAGCACCGATTCTGCCTACTATGAGCAGACGGCCACACAGCACCTCATATGGAGAAAGTCGACGAGATGTGACAGACCCAACACCAGCAAGACGCGACATCGCCACGTCCGCTGGGCCCACTGACACAGCACCTGCCCGCAATGTTTCTCGGAGCAGGCCTGTCTCGTCGCCCTTGTTCCCTACCTTCCCCTCGACTGATCCCGTTGCTGGCGCGGCCTTGGCGTCAATGCCCCAGCAGCCCGATGTTTTGGCCTCAGCCGCACCGGGCGCCAATCAAGCGCCACCATCCCCTACTCTAGCGCAATCGGGAGTTCGGGCCTCGCGTCATTCCATGGCCCCCTCAGAACAGGCCTCGACATTGGTCGGCTCGTCTGATAATGAACTTCGCGCCTTAGGGTCCGGCGACGAGGACGACGCTGACGTCCAGAGCGAGACCGTCTTTGATTCGCTGCGCACGGGTGCGACCAGAGGCTCAACCGTCGGCGCGCGTGGGCCTCGCATTGAGACTATATTCGACGAGTCGCCCCCCTCCAAGGTCAAGATTACAGCCCTACGAGATCTACTGCCGCCCGGATCGTTTGGAGAACCAATGGTCAATGGTGTCGCCGGCCACCAGAGCATCGCCGAGGAAGAGGAGAGCATATCGACTCCCGTGCGGACAGTGCGCCCCCAACGCTCCTTGCAGGACTCGCCCAGTGTCACTCGAACACACAGTGCGCCGCTCTTCCCCAAGGCGATACCGTCGTCTTCCCCGAGCATGCCCAAGCCGCTTTCGCTTGGCACGCTGGAATGGGACTCGCGCGCAGGAGACGACGACGACAGTAGTAGGTGGTCACTAGAAGAGGCAGATGATGAGGATCCCTGGGTTGATCATCCAACAGTCAACCACAAGGCCAACCCTGTGGCTCTTTTGCGACAGCACACGCATCTACTCGCACCGGGCTTCACTACCAACCCAAATACGCCACAACATTCCACATCAGAGTTTGGTGACAAGGACGCACGCAGCAGCATCTTCGATTGGTCTGAACAGCAAATTGCAGACAAGAATTCAGGAGACCGCACACCGCCGCGTCCCCGTACAGTGCACGGAAAGAAGGATGCAGACCGCAGAGGCAGTCGATCTGTTGGTCGGCGAGTACCTAGCGGGTTGCACGCTCGCAGCCAAAGTGTGCCCGTGGTCCCGGATCTGACTGGCAAACGTAACACAGTAGTTACAAACAAGTTTGGCACCTGGGGTGTGGGAAGCAAGGGTGTCACCGAAGACTGGAACGACGACTTTGACTTTTCCGAACTCACCGAGGAGCCTGTTGCTGAGGACGGAAGCTCTCCTGGACTGGACAGTAGCTCAGCAATGATCGTGCCGAAGAGCATACAAGAGCAACAGAACAATGTTCTTGCAAACATCAGTCTCTTGCGCGAATGGGGTCTGTTAATCGAAGAACTAAAAGAGCAAAGAGTACGCGCTGTTGCGCTTGGTATGATACAAGGCACACCCTCCGGCATGTGGCTTGAAGTGGATGCAATGATTGAGCTTGCAGATCAGGAGGCCGATCATCAGGATGTTGCTCACGACTCACCACCATCATCGCCTGATTTCGACGAAGACGCCTTTGAAGACCCATCTGCAAGCCCTAGCCATGGAAGAAGAAGGCGCAAATCATCTTCTCCTCATGAGGATAGCACCAAGAACCCGCCCCAATCGGCGCGCCCGCTGCGGAAGTCTATCCTTCCTTCGAGCAATGGAATCTTTACCCCGCAGTCTTCACCGATACCAGCTAAATCGGAGGCTGACGCCACCCCCGCTACCCAGGAGTCGAAGACCATCGCTACGAGACCCCGCAAAGACTCAGAAGCCAAAGCGCGCTCCGTCATCGAAGCGCTGCAAAAGAGGAGGAGCGCGTATGAACCGTTCCTAGACGCGCCTCCCATACCTTCGACCCCTTCGAAGAAAGTCCCTTTCGATACCTCGACACTGCGACGTATCGTGCCATATGTCAGCACGTTGACGCGCAAGGTCAAAGACACAATCAGGGATGCAGAGGGCTTATACTCCAGCCCTCTTACGAGCCCCCTACACGAGGAGCCACCATTTGGCACGATCCATCAACAAGAGGCGGATCTTGCGGCTCAGATGAAGCTCATGACAGTAATGTAGATTCGCAGGATAAGACGACGCGACTTACGAGCATTTCAAAAGAAGCATACGACTCGCTTCGTGCTGGTCACACGCATCTGGGCAAAAGTTTGTGGGAAGAAACAAAAGTTTCTTCTAGATATTTCACTTTGGATCAGAGCGTTCGAGCGAGGATCAAGCCTTCGCGGCCTGATCAACTATTTCCCTGTATTAATTACGCAGCCGTCGATTATCACGTCAGGCCAAGTACTGCATTTGGAGCGACATGGCATTTGCGATTTCCTTTTGCATAAGTTGCAGCATCTCCCGGCCAGGATACACATGGAAAAGAGGAGGCATGCTACATGAAGCGCATGTGTTTTGTCTAATGGAAGATTATGGCGCATTCAGGATTGGGTTTCCTTTGTGGAGGAGTTGAGCATATAATACTCTCCTGGCGGGATGGGCATACCGCGCAGTTCGCGAGCCGCTTTTCTACACGTTCCAGTCATGTACAAAAGCGGGTTGAGGGTTTTCTCTTTGTTTCTTTGTTCCTTTGTCTTTCTTGATCTACGATATCTTGAATCACAACGAGGGTCCTCTCAAAAATCATAGCATTGATACCTGACGGCCACAGTCACTGTCTCTTGAGACACGAATCCACAGAATTTGGAACATATCTTACACAATGGCGCCACTGACTTGACCGTGATGTCTACAATTTTAGCTCTCGGAACCGACACAACGGTATCATGCTTAGAGCGTCTAGGCCATTGTGTAGTCCTTAACAACTACCAGTACCATATTAGGTAGCTCGTATACACCGCCTCTTGCTTTTACAAGACTGTTACGCCGGAGTTCATCCCTCTATCTAAACTGTTGGTTGAAGTTGTCTTCCTGAAACTACCATAGCTTCCGAGCCGTTGTTGCGAGGCCAACTACTGCAGGCCCATAGCCGAATCACACGCCACTAATGCATTCCCACGCATCGCCTTCTGATGAGCCAGTTATCAAGGCAACGCCGAACGAGGCGCAGTTTTACGCACTGATGATCGCCTGCGCATCTTGTTCATGCCGGACAGCCAGATCTCCGTACAGCAGCGTACCATACTCGCATTCGCTTCTGCCCGAGCGGGTCAGCGAGCAGCGAAGGCACACGGGACGAATATTTCCTGCAGAAGATCACCGGACCATACAGCGGACATAGCAGACGATTGTGAGATTTGCTCTTTCCACTTGTACCGTAATGGTATACTGTATATATCAAGCTATACCAACATTCTTGGAACAGCACAACAAATAAAGCCCATGCCGCTTTACAGTCATAAAGCCGAAGCTACCACTAACCGAGAGACGCCCTAATCTGCTGCACTGTCATCCACGATGCATATTCCTGTTTTCCAGACGATATAGCTTACCAGATTTTTGCTATACTGCTTGTCTCGTTCGTCTCGGAATGCTTAGCCGCCATTGTTGGTCCGACTCCCCGGCAAGCGCATACACGCATCCAAGGGTGGGAATAATATCCTCGGCCGGCTCGGTCGTATCGGTCGTACGGTAAACAGAGCCTCCATAACCCTACTCCACAATTGCATGTCCACATCAAAACGGTCGCGCGACCTGCCTTGTGGAAACATACGATTGATGCACCAAGACCAAGGCGAGTACGAATTGGCGAGACTACAGTACTCGCCAATTACATGTGCATGTACTTGAGACTGCGATGGTTTGACAATGGGCAAATCGCAGAACCCCGCGCTTTCATTCATCCGAGGTCGATGACGATTGCCTGTCTTGGAAGGCGCAGGCCAAGCAACACCAGGGAACGACACCAAGAGAGAGGCGAATGACACCTGTACTACCTACTAGAAGAGGGGGGTGACTATATGTGCAGCGCTTTGGAGCCCTTCTCGCTGTTCCTTCTCACAAGCGGTCGGATACCCTCGTTTGTGATCAAAACAACAAACTTCCTCCAATCTCCACAACGTAAACACCGAGAGAAAGTCCTTGTTGGCTCGACTACACCCGTACCTTGCATATCGCGCCCCAACTTCCCCATTCTCGCTAACCAACCACGCATCGGACTGATCAGCCAGAAGCGGTTTTGTTGCCCAAATCAATTCTTCGTCCGAGACAGCCAACTTCTCACGTCATTCTGAGCACTTCAATATGGCGATGAAACACTTAATGGCCGTGGTGGGCCTGAGCGTATGCTCCGTTGTGCTGACGGCCAAAGCGCAATCCACCGCTGCAACAGCATGCGCAAGCCCCATTGCCCCACAGAATGGTGCTCCTTCGGTGGCGCCGGGTTTCCGTGTCGAGGTCGTGGCTAATGGGCTGAGGGATCCACGCGGCATTATTTTCGATCGGGAAGGTGGGCTGCTGGTTGTAGAACAAGAGCATGGGGTTAGTAGGCTGAGGCTGACGGGTGATGGAGCTTGCATTAGAGTTGATGGTGATGTGCAGAGTGTAGTTGAAGATGAATCTGTGAGTGTTCGCGTTGTGCGGGGCGAGACGTGACTAGAAATGGTTCTGATGACTGATTACAACAGTTGAATCATGGGATCGCATTCGCGCAGGACGGTAATACGCTTTATGCATCCTCCCACAGCAATGTCTACGCTTGGGACTACGATGCGCCACAGGGTCAGACTACATCTGAATCCCGTGATGTTGTCGAGGGCATGGGAGACGATGAGGGTCATACTACACGTACCCTACTTATGTCCCAGGCCGTTCCTGACATGCTACTCGTCTCCCGTGGTAGCGTAGGTAACATCGATCTCCAGACTCTGGATGTGACTACAGGAGTCTCAACCATTAAAGCCTTCAATGTGGGCAACATGACCGGCTCAGCATACGATCATGCGTCAAGTGGACTGTTGCTGGGTTGGGGTCTTAGAAACTCGGTGGGAGTAGCTGAGGAACCTGTCTCAGGTGGTATCTACTCTGTCGAGAACAGTGTCGACAACATCCCGCGAAGTGGACAAACCATTAATCAGAACAACCCAGGTGAGGAGCTCAACTTTCACGGTTACCTCAATGGAACCGGAAGCGATGTACAGGGTGGCAACTACGGCTATCCTTCATGCTTCACAGCATGGAATGTGTCCGAGATCCCAGACTTTGGCGGAATGACAGGTCAGCAGTTTGCCATTGGAGATCAGAACGCAACTGTGAACGACACATTCTGCGAGAATGATCGTATTGCTCCTAGGATCACGTTCGACGCTCACATGGCTCCCCTTGATATCAAGTTCAACCCCAATGGCACTGCCGCATGGATAACTATGCATGGTTCATGGAACCGTGAAGAGCCTATCGGCTACAAACTCAGCTTCGTCCAGTTTGACGGTAACGGCTCACCAGTCGCACCTGCCAACAGCACCACAGCCGCCATTGATATTGTCTCCAACCCCGACCTCTCTGCTTGCCCTGGCTCTTGTTTCCGACCCGTTGGTCTTGCGTGGGATACCCAGGGTCGCTTATTCATGAGTTCGGATTCTACGGGCGAGATTTTCGTCGTTACGAGAGAGGATGGCAGTGGTGTTGCAGATGTGAGCGAGGCGGCGGATGCTGGAAATGGTGCGAGCGCGAGCCCAACAGGATCTGGAAGTGCGCCTCAGCCGAGCGAGACTACTGGTACTGCGGTGAGAGGGGGCGTTGGGAGTGGAAGCTATTGGGCTGTTGGTGCAGCTGTAGTTGCCGCGCTGGTCTGAAGAAGACGATGAGGAGGAAGGGCACTACAATCATGTTTGTGTAGTCACAATATACACAATGCAAGGCTGTAGTCGTGCGATATGCCCCTTGTACCACTCGCTATTATATCCTGACATCAAGCAGAAACGTATACCCGATTTTCGGACATCGTACCGACCTTCAGATTGGGTTGTGTATCGTTGGCTGTACCTTCCTAGGAAGGCATGTGGAAGACGAGCAATGGCGACCGCAACCGCTCTCAGCGTCTTCGACCTCGCATTCTCATTATGCAATCATCGGCCATGCTTCCTGTATCGGCACCGTCCTGCACCGTTCGTAGCTAACCTCAACGCAATACCTCGTTGGAATCTTACCCTCCGCGTGCAAACGCATCCTAGCACAGCACCATCGTTTGCAATTCTTCGTCACCGCCGCTCTCATCACATCGCTGGGGAAGACCTCAGTTGTCCCGCCTGATCCGAACTGCTGATTATTGACGACATTCTTGGAGCTTTAAGTAAGCACATAACCCGACACAGCCGCTGGATTTGGTGTGTGGTGCTGCTCAGTTGGGCATGGTAGGCAGAGTTCCACCTTCACGTCGTTTTGCGAGGGCTGTCTACGGTTAGCTGGATCCCTGCCACCCTCACTTCTTATTCTACAATAGGAACGTACCTTTACTCGCGGCTAGTGCGGGTGACCTCTCCACCGTATATCGTCCTCACATACTGCCAGTCCTTCTTCTTCCACCAACCCGCTTCCTCTATTGCATTGGAACCTTGAATATCTCAATCTCTTGACCTCATACCAGTCATTCACATCAACATGTCTCGCCCTTTGGGTCCAACTACTGCTACGGCATTCGACTCTCTACCTATAGAAGTGTGTATCTCCGACATGCATATGAATGTACAGACGCTGACAATCTGCGGTAGCTCAACAAGGCCATCGTTCATGAACTCGACAACGACAAGGATATTGCGAATTATCGCCTGATCTGCCACTCTACAAACGATGCCATTGATGCAGACAGACTTTCCTTCTGGCGCGCTAAGTATCGCGAGAAGTATGACTTCAAGGACGGTCTTAACAATCTGCAATTATGTCGCGTGTACCAGCGTCGCTCCAAGCAGCTTAGACGAGGGATCAAATACCCCTTCTTCCATGGCATTCGCCAAGGAGAGAGACAGGTCGTCAATATGCTCAAGGATATGATCAATGGTAGGTCAAACCATACCCTCAAGAACCAAACACGAATCTCGTATGCTAACACAAAGCAGAGTCATTCCAAGGAGCTACCACAGTTGACGAGCATGGCCGTCTCCGCTGCAAGAATCACGCTCACATCCTGGACTTCATTCTCAGATCTCGCCTTCTTAACAACGACCGACGCGCCCCTGATACCCCACCCGGCGCATTGATGCACATTGATGATGGGCTTGCAGCGGTGAAGCTTATGTGCTCTCAATTTGTCTTTAACATCGAAGGTTTGGAGCACAACATCTTTGCTTTTGAGGAGTCGCAGCACGCGGTTTACCTGTCTGCATCTGCTGCTCCACTCTTCAATTACGATCACACAAAGTTGAACCTCGGCTGGATGCTACACGCCATGAGCTTCTTCCGTCATCACATGATGAACGAGAACGCCCAGACACTCTTCGACAGGATCGAAGGGCTAGACGCTACCCAGAAGCCCTCAGCATGGCGAGAACAGCTTAAAAATGGTGTTCAGCCGCTGAGCAAGTACTGGAAGGGCACATACTCATTTCTTGATAACTCTGAGGTCCAGAAGCTGCGACGACAAGGTCCAGGAAAGCAAGTGTATATCGACAAGAACGTTGACGAAGGCAAAATCCAGGTACGCTATTCTCGAAGTCTTCGGAGCCGTGCCTACATTCACTGATCACATGCAGTCTCTCGAGCTCGTTTTCGCAGAAGATAGTGTCCTGCCCGATGGTCGCCGGCTACCATGGCCCTCCGTTTTTGAAGACCGTCTCCGCTCGCTTACGAACGACACTGGCAAGCAAGGCGTCACAACTCAAGGCCGGAGTCTAGCTAAGTCTACCGCATCCAGCATTCAGTTTGAGGGCAAGGGCGAGGACCTTGACGACGAATACATGGCTCTTGGATGGCTCAACATTCTGCCTCCTCAAGGTGGTATCCCTGGCTGGCAACGCATCACCTTCATGAAGCACTTCACCCAGGACTACAACAACCTAAACGAGGACAATCTTTGGGCATATGAGGGCGTTGTTTTGCCAGGTGGCCGGATCATTCTGGGTCGATGGTGGTTTGCTTCGGAGCAGGGTCATCGTAACGTAAGTGGCCCCATGGTGGATTCCATCATCTGACGCATACTGACTATTTGTAGCTAGAGTACAACGGACCTTTCATCTTGTGGGCGGTCGATGAACCCGACATGGAGGATAACGACAGTGATAACTGCAGCGACGAAGGTCTCTGAAGCACATGACTGCGGCAACGAAGGGTTTTTGGAGCCCCATCTCAAATCTCATGTCTGCTTTTCACATCTTTTGATTATCTATTTTACCTTTCCTAACATACCCTGGCGTTTAAAGCATGGCGATGTACTCATGAAAACTTAGTCTATCTGGAGGCATGGAGGCCTGGGGTTCCCTGTGCTTTGTTAGTTTTGGCATCACATATCATATAGTTACCTGGTCATGGTATTCGTAGAATTGGACACTGTGCCCATGTCTGAGTCCAAAGTTTATCCCAAAAAGGTTTATGCTCGATCCTATCGTCCTACAGATCCACAAGGTTCGGTATCATGAAAAGTAAACGACGAACCAACTACTATTACAGTTACTCACCATGGCTTTGAATGGGATCGACGTTGGATGTTATGCTGAAGCATATGTCTATTTAACCACAATTTTCGGCAACAGTACATCAAAGGCCTCGGAATAAAAAGGTGAGAAATCTGATGTAAAAAGACCATTTTGCATTTCATATCTATCCTGAGTTCATAAGTCATGTCGTGAATCATTCATTTCCGAGCCAGAAGACCCGACGTCGCATTAACCCAATGTGCTCTTCTTTTCTCCCCCAAGACCAAGAAGATGCCATCTATCCATCCATTCGCTACCATGATCATCGTTCGTCAAAAGACCAAAGTGTGTAAAAGAATGGAGTTGCTAAAAAGAAGAACAATGACATTCGCTTCCTCCAAGCCTCGCGAAAGAAAAAGGTATTTAACAATACTTTCTAGACAACCGCGACAGTACAATTAACCAGAAGACCGTTTCGAAAAGGTGTAAGGAAACAGGGGTGATGGTCGGGTAAGCATCTAATACCTCGCACCCATGGGTGGCGGTGGCACAGAGCTACCGTAAGGATTCGCATCCGCGTAGGACGTAGGATAAGGCTGGTTGGCAGCTACAGGATATGCGTACGGATTAGCGGCTGCTCCATTCATATTGGCTCCCAGAGCATTTAGACGGGCTTCTTTCTCGCGTCGTTCACGCTGCTTTCTCCTCTTGCGGCGGCGCGTCTCAAGTTCCTTGACGCTGTGGCGTTGCTCGTTCATCTCTTTCCACTCGGAGTAGGCTGACTTGATACCGAGGGCAGCGATACCCACGGCAGCAGCATCTTGGAGCATGTTCTTGGACTTGCGTTTGCGCGCTTCTTCGGGTGACATTTCGCCCTCGCCGACGAGCTTGCGACGGTTCTCCGAGGCAACCATGGAAGAATAGACTCCATGCGCCGCGTGGATGGTGGCCACAGTGGCTAGACCCGCAGTAAGGAGTTCCTTACCTCGTAGCTTCTTGCGCTTCTCCTCCATGTCGGTGGACGATTCGGAATCGCTGCTAGCGTCCCATCGACCCCGATCTGCTCCTCCACCCTGTGCTGTCAAAGCACCGGCGCCTGCCCCACCGGCGGCGGCTAGTCTGCGATCTGGGTTAGTCCTGGAAGGGGCTTCGGAATACTGGTCGTCCATACCGCGGCCTCGGCTGTACGAGCGGCGGTTGCCCCTACGTGAGGGCACATAGCTGTCGGCGCTGGAAGAGCGGGATCGCTCCTTTCGGGAACGAGACTTGGATCGCACACGGTCGTATAGAGCCTTGCCTGCTGCGAGCACAGCACCGGTACCAGCTACCTTGGCGAGACCGTTGTTTCCTCCCTCGCTGGAATGGGAGCGCGAGCGGCCGCGAGAGCGCGAACGTCCGAAGATGGACCTGGACCTGGACCTGGCACGAGAGCGGGAGCGAGACCTGGAGTCGTCACGACCACGAGGAGCACGGGAGCGGGAGCGAGAGCCGTTGGCTAGACGAGAAGCGACAAGACCACCCAGAGCGGACTCGGCGACGTGTCTCTTCTCGTGCTTGCCAGGGTCTCTGTCGATGAGACCATCGATACCAGCAGCACCGAGAGCAGCAGTTGCGACACGTTGGCCCTTGGCACCAGTCCATGGACCGGCTTCCTTGCGGCTGCGGAAGGCTTCGACAGCACCGGCGACGATGGCGGCTTTGGCGGCTTGCTCCCACTTCTCAGACTTGCGTCCTCCTCGGCTGCGGCTGCGAGAACGCGAGCCGTAGCGGCTGCTTCGGCGGTCGCGGTCGTCGTAGTATCCGTATCGGTCGCTGTCGTAGCCACGGTCGTCTCGACGAGGACGGGAGCGTGATCGGTCGCGGCCGCCTCCAGTGACTGCGCCGATGATACCGCCTAGGCCTGCAGACTCGCCAAAGTCCTTGACCTTGTCGACGATGGACTTGCGGCGCTGCATGTTGGGGCGCTCAGAGTACTCGGAACGGTCATCGTAGTCGCGGTCACGTCGACGGGGGCGGTCATAGTAGTCGTCATCGTAGCCACGGTTCACTGAGCGGGTGCGACGGGGCGGCGCATACTCCTCGCGGTACTTGGTTTGCCTATACTCGGCACCGGGAGGGAAGTCGCGGGGGATTTCCTCGATGCTGTCCTCGCGCGCTGCGGGGCGGTAGACGAGATCTCGTGCCCCGCCTCCGCGACCGCCGCGCTCAATGTACGTCGTCTCGGTGACGTACTCAGGCTCCCGCGTACGGTGCCGTGGTGCGTAGCTGTACTCAGACATGGTGATGGTGCTCTATACCCGCCGTGGGCGATGTTGGCTCTCCAGGGTCCAGCAGCAGGAAGCGTCGTATCCGGGTCCGGTGTTCTGCGCAAGGCTTGGTTAGCGGGCGCACGAAGGCGACGAGCAGGGCGGCGCCTTGGACATACCAAATAGTCTCTTTGGTCAGATAGACTTTACTTGGCTAGTAAGCGCAAGTTTGATAGTTGGAGGGCTGTCGCAACGAAGAACAAGGTGCCTGCGAAGTAACGGGACAAGGTGGGTAGGGGAATGGGGTGTCGAGCGTCGCAGGGCACCGGCAGGCAGTGGTATTTAACAGGATGATCGACTCGGAAGGTCCAGGGCTGATGACTGTCCGTTTGGCTTGGGTCCCAAGGATCTATCTCGGTGCAGGTGGGGTGGCGTAGATGTTACCGTTTGCTTGAGGCTGGGGTGGGCGTCAGTCTTGAGAGCGCAAAGCGGCAACAGCGTGCCTATGATGTCACTTGTTGGGTTGCCCACAGCCAAGGCCAAACTTTCTTCTACCAGCTGCTGCGCCCAACGAGAAGACAGTCTCAAACGGGGTTTAGGTCAACTGATTTGCGCAGCTTTTCTGACCGGCATCCCTCACCGACGGACGACTTGGGTGCTTTTCGCTGCGAACATGTTGCTCGCCATAGCCCCTCTCCGGCTGCCTCCGAATCTTGACCGGTGCCTCACTTTCGTCCATCTTACGTTGCGACGACGGCTTTCTGACAGCTGTCGCATCGTCTCCCCATTCGCCTCATGGCTGCATCTCCCACTCCACATGTCTCGCTGCTTCTAAGCCATGATTCCAAGTTTCTGTCCTGCACCCTGTCCACTCGGCAGCATTCAGGGCTTGATGACGAAGCCCGGTGCCATTGTGTGTAGGGGTGCTATGTACAGAACGCCACGTGAGTCATCAGCTATTGGCCGATACCCGTGGTAGGTACATGGAACTCCAGCGAACATGCGAGGATACACCTGCCAGTCTGTGGCCTGACACTTTGACGTTGGCCCAAACCCTGGAAGGACCGGGTAGTACCTGACAATCTTCAAAAAGATGCCCAACTACATGTTTTTCCTTCCTTGTTTGTTTGCTTCATGTTTTATTGAGGAGTCGATGACGATATGCCTTCAACGCGTGAACCCGTGTTTGGTCGCTAGAAATTGTGGCGCATGCCAATACGAGTGTTTGGGGCATGGTAGCTGCATTGCTTTATCTCAGCAGCAACAACAGCCTCTCTAACTTTTTGCAATTTCTGAAGTATGGACCACGTACTAGACTAGATCGTACATGTTTCGGATTTTCCATGTCAAGTTGGTCACCAGATCTGAATCACACCACTGTAGTCCCCTTCCATGATATCTCTGGGAACAAGGCAACGAAGACTGGACAAAGCAAAGACATGATACCATATAGCCTCACGACATCTTCCAAGAACGAGCTGTAGGCATGAAGACACTCCCCAACTGGGTCGAATCGGAAGTTTCTCAGAGTACTTTGCTCCATCATGTTGTACCACACATGTCATCACACGTATTGCAAAGTATTGGTGATTCTTGCTCCATCCTGATGAATATAGTACAAGCATATATACACGACGCAAGATCAACCTCAAACCTTGATCGCATACCGCCTAGGCTTATCGCTTTCCACGGCCTTCCCTGTCCGTTCCTTCGCCCACAACTTTAGTCTTGACATACGCTGTAGATTTGCCTCTTCCTGCTCTCTGAGCTTTTCTGCTTCCAACTCTTCTGCTGTGAGCTCTACAGACATTGCCTTCTTCTTCTGTATCTCGGGATCCGGCCGCGAGACTTTCTTGTCGAGCAACTTCTTGACCTGCTCTCGTAGCGTCCTGGCTGCCTCTCTTGCTTCGGCCATGTCTCCAGCTCCATTCTGGCTGGCCGCCTGCTTAATCTCTTCTCTCCTCTCTCGTTGGCCCCATGGCTCTAGGTCGGGAACCTCTGGCCAGACGAATGGCTGCTCCAACTCTACCGTCATGTACTTCTTCGAGTCCTCACGGAACCAATGCCGTGGCTGTTCGCGCGTATCGCGTACAGGCATTTGCTTTACGTACGATCTGATGTTGAAGCATTTGACGTTGTAGGCGTGGTAGAGGTAATCGCGAAGGTCGTACTTTGAGAAGTCGAGCGGGACGAGGAAGCGGGCATGATACGGGGAAAGGTTTGGTGTACGAAGGAGTGCGACTGTGAATTTAGGACTGAATTGTGTTAGTCCTGAGCATAAACGATGTAGCGTAGTGGCCTACAGGTATATCTTCTTGCTCCCAAAGGCTATCAGTTTTTTTGTGATGGGTACGGCGTTCATGGCGATGGGTTGCGATAGAGTCCAGCAAATATGATGAGGTGCTTTCTAGGGAATCAAATGGCGCACGAGCAATGGGTACGGCGGCTTCGAGAAGTGCAATGCGCGACGATGCCGCGTGATTCGACTTCTAGTGGTAACTTTGGTGATGCTCAGAAAATGGATCGGAGGTCGCTCCGCCTAACACCGAGCCCCGCCAAGCCTTTCCCCAACCTCTGTGCCTCTGTGACAATGCACAGCGACTCTTTGCCATCCTGATTTGACGTCTTGTGCCTCCTATCTACAACCTCTCATCTGCATATGGAACCTCTATGTAAACGATATTCACGATCTCCTCGCGTGATACTCGGCAGATCAGGTCACATGTGTGGGCAAACTAACAGCTTCGCTCGACGAATCTCAGCTGCATCGAAGGTCTGTCTGCTCATAGTTGTGATGAATTGTCACATACTCGCACTCTCGAGTGACATGTATTAGACTGGAATATATCCGGTGTTGCTGGTGGCGTCCACGTGGTCAGTGCCCTTGAGTAGGTACCTAGGTAAAGCAGACAGTTTGCTTTCGTCGAATGCCGCCTTAGGCGACAGTGTTCTCAAATAAACGGCGCTCCCTCTCACTCGAGTCAATAGGTCACCCGAATTCTTGACACCATGAACCTTTGTATCCCATCTTTCCGTTCTCTGCACGTTGAGCCCCCACAAATCTGATTGATACCTCTTCTTTGCTCCTTGACTAATACAACAAGCTTTATGCGTTGTTGCACACAACTCCTTCATATCACTGGAATGCAGCGTGCTCTTAAGCGTGCTTCTACCAATTGGCTACACTTACGGCAGGAGTGGACGTGTCCAAGCGTCACTGCGTGTCTGCTCCTTCCAACCCGGGTTCACCTCGACCTATCCTTGCAGATGAGCACCACGGTACTGCCCAAACACTCCTCTTCCCGACGCCATTACTTTGACACTGCTTCTGATACGCCACACAACCAAGAGTCTACAATCATGAACCCAGGCGAAAGTGGCCCGGCTCCTAGGCCAAAGCCAAACAAAACCATATTAGTGCCTCAAGAGTTCCGTCGTCCCACTCATGCCAGAGAGTGCGACAACATCGTCAACGAGGTTAAGGTCAGAACTGGTTGTGCAGTCATTCCGCAATGGGATGATGGGAGGATCTACCAGTTCGGCATCGCTGGAGGAGGCGCAGGACTGGAAAAGGCGGTCCGATATATCAATCAGTGGATTTCCAACGCGCACGTCAAATCGAAAGATTCCTCAGCGTGGGCAAAGATGCCGGCTTTCGATCCGAACAAGTGGTACTACGAGCAAATTGAAGAAATGGAGCGACAACGCAAAGAGGCGTTCAGAGGAACAGCGCCCAAAGTGTCAGAAGGCGGAACACCGCTACAGTGCTTAACCATACATTGGCCAGAGGATCTGATCAATCTGAACATAACTCCTCGCGATGTCTTCGGCAACAAGTTGGAAAAGCTGGATGCTATCCGGACTTACGACGAGGTTTTCATATCGATTCTCTCTGCTCAGGGCGATATCGGGCAGATAGAGATACAAGGTGCGTTTTGGATATATAGTATTCATATAAGCCTTACGCTGACTTCTCACTCTCGTCTTCGAAGCGGTAGACATAGCGAACATAGAAGCAGCCGAGGCGCATCTCAAGACGATGATTGACAAAGTCAAAGCTGAAGAGATGGGACAACATCATACGCTCAACATGATCCTTGATGATCAAGAGGGGATGGAAGTCGAGCTGAAAAAGGCTGACACTTGGTGGCCGAACCTGTGCGTAGATTGCCGGTATCAATTGTGTCAGATATGAACTAACTTCGTGTACTTAACTCTAGACAAGACCGAGTCGTACCCCACCTCCTTCCCAATAATATGATGGACCCTCCTGGACGTTTTCGCGGTGCTTTCATGCACTCCAAGCAGCTCTCGAAGATCCAGCGTTCTGTTCAATTAGCTCTTGACGCCGTGCGTCACAAGAAAGGCGCTTACGATATGACCATCTGTCTAGGGTCTCTAGCACTGAATTCGAGGCATATCAGAGAGAATGAAATTGGCAAAAAGTACAGCAAGGATGTCTTCTTAAAGTCGATCAATGGATCGGTGGGCCTTGAAGTAAAGAAGTGGCAAGTCAAGACCTTTATAAGAGTATCATGACGGTAGCTAACAGAACAGGCTTGTCGACGATGTATTGGGCTGCCAGATACTGAAGTCTTTCTTCACGGCTGACGACTTCCTCGAACCTACAAAGTCTTCAGACTATTTCGGCTATATGCCCAAATCTCTTCAAGGAACCCGCCCTATGTTCCGAGGAACATGGGTGTTCGCAGATCCCAGCATTGCTACTGCTCATCCGCCTCAGGCTACAGCTACCCGCCATCCCGGTCGACCCAATCCATCCTACCAAAAGCCTGCTGCTACCGCGAGTTCGACACCAGTACCGGCGGTACAGTCCAGCCTTATCGTGGTTCGAGTTGATTGGACGGACGACGAAGAAGGGTTGTACGAGAAGACCACTACACGATTCTACAGGACAGAACAAGGTAAACTAGGTCCAACGAAGAATATGGACATCAACCTGCTTGAGTTAGGAGAGAGCCAAGGATGGCACTTTGCCCTCGAATCATTGACCCCCGTGGCATCAAAAAGCATTTCGCCTGTGATAACTGGTTTCGCCGAGCGAGTTAAGATGAGGCCCAACCATGACCATCGTTCCAGTGAAAGCTTCGCTGAGTGGGAGCAGACACCGACTGTCAAGAAGTATCTGCGCACTGGTCGTTTAGATACTATCTACTCTTTCGGAATTAAGCAAACATGCTACAAAGTTGAGGTCACCGGCATGTGGTACCCGGGACAGAAGCTACCTGTCTGGGGTCTCTCTATTCGTCATCTAGAATGGGCGACTCATCTCGCAGAGCTCGAGCGACTGCCTATTGGTCGCGAGGCTGACTGGGGTAATACCATCGCTGCCTTCTTACCAGACGACGGACATTCAGATTGTTCTAGTGCCACCGAGCGTAAGTACAGAATTCATTTGACTACCTTCAGGGTGACTTTTCGCGTCAGGTTTCTGTCTTATAACTAACGATGTATTGATCAGGTTCTTGGATGACGGAAACGTTACCGAAAGATGAAGACTTCGGAATAAGAGACCTCAATCTGGGCTCTGGTGTCGAAGCACCACCACCACGCGACGGTATCCGCATCCTTATGGACAAGCTACTTCAGCTCTCAGCTATCGTCAGCTCAGTCACCGAGACTTCCGCGGCGATGGCGGGAAGGAGCTCGAGCTAGGCGCCTGCAATGACGTGGGTGGTCTTTCGCGGTACGCGCTAGATTTAGGTTGGAGGTCATATTGCTGTCGTGAGTGGTTGTGTCGTGCGACTGGGGTTGACGTAAGTGTCGCGGCTCGTTTACCATATTTTGGAGCGAGAGGCGACATGGGAGGTGTCTCTATTCAAATAACAGGGAAGCGATGGATCTGCACACGGAATACGCATACAGTATGTCTGCATGTCCTCTTAATATTCAATAGCCCAAAGAAATCCGAGGTGATCTGAAAGGGCGGTGGGTCTAGGAGTCAAGTCTTATATAGAACCATGTCAACAGCATGATATCTGACTTTATTCCTGGCCCTTGCTATTTCGTTCTCCACTTTCGAAGATGTGTCTGATCCTCCAGCTTTGCTCCTGCTCGTGTCAACACAGCTTGACCAGCAGCAATGGCAGTCCTTCCACAAGCTAATCCTTCAATGTTCTTTGTTGATACTTCAGCTGCCTTGCTCCTCACCCTTGCCTTCCTGTGCGTTCATGACCTTGAGCCTAATAACCTCCTCGACGACTCTAACATTCTGCGCTTTGCCCTGTACAACACCCTCCAAGTCCTTCAAGCTGTCACCCAGATCCTTGACCTTGCGCTCATAGAAGTCCTTTGCGCTAGCAATATCTTTCTCTACAAAGAAGCCTGTGCCTACATCCACCAGCACATGTTCATGATCCGTGAGTTTCCCCGGTACGTATAACGAGGATGTCAAGGGGACGAGAAGCGGTTTCGAAACGGTCGCTGGTGTGAGACCCGTTGAAATGGAGGTCAGGCAGTCGCGGAACTTGGATTGCGCGGTGCGTAGCGATTGGAACGAATTTGAGAGGTGGGTGAGCTCGGCATCGAGTTGGGTTTTTAGTTCTTGGAGGCGGGGGACAGGGAGGGATGTAATTTCGACTGCGAGGTGGAATTAGCACGATGCGCGATGGATTGGCGTTTGGCTGCTATTTACTTTGACCAGGCTGTGCGCCTTGAGCTTGTGCCATGTTGGTGACGCGTGGGCTGATGGGTGTCGAGCTTCCGGGTGTTTGTGACGATGTAAACTTTAGGATGGGAAGGTTTTGGCGGGGCGGCGAGCTGCTCGTGTGGGGTACGGTAACGTGAGAGCGTGTCAAGCTTCTGGGCAAGTCGCATCCACGTAATCTATCATACCTCACCATATTTCAGTCCTCTATGCCGAAGCCGGGCCCTCTTCTTCCTCGCCACTGGATTCGCAGGCGTGATTTAATGCCGGTACGCAATACGCGTTTCCGAGTCTTACAAAACGAACAATACTTGGACAAGAAGAAGCAGCTCAGCATAACCAATTTCAAATCCGACTATCCCGCCGTCTTCAAAAAAGCTTTCCTGGATATACCCGCAATTGAAAAGTGGTTTCAGAAACTCAGTGAGCGGCCAGAGGTGCTCACAGGTGAACAACACCTAAAACAACACGATCAACGCAAACAACACCAACAACGCAAACTTGATGCACTCCACAAAACGTTCAGATATCCTCAGGAGCTGAATACAGCATATCTGGAGCAGTATGGCAATGCAATTGTGCCGTTGGAATTGACCCGTGTTTCCACCAACGGCAGCGCTCGAAACCAAACTTTCGAGCGCTTCGAAGCACCGCTATCCCTCCTTTTACAGCATATGAGTGCTGCTGAGACGCAAGACACCAGTTTGTACCTCGCGCAACACTCGCTAGCTGATCTCCCAGCGCCGCTGCAAGAAGACCTCCCCACGCCCTCGCTCTTCCTACCGCACCTCAAGGCCCGTGGCGATATCTATGCGTCAAGTCTCTGGATGGGTAGACCGCCTACGCGCACGCCGCTACACCGCGACCCGAATCCAAATATCTTCGTACAACTGGCAGGCAAGAAGACGATTAGACTTATGAAGCCTGAGGTAGGCAGGGGTGTATATGAGATTGTAAGACAGAAAGTACATGGGGCTGGCGGAGACGCGAATATGAGGGGAGAGGAGATGATGCAAGGAGGAGAAATGGAGGGCTTAGAAGATGCAGTGTGGAATGACGACCCCGAGGTAAAAATGGCTGACGCAACCGGCGTAGAAACAACTCTGAGGAGTGGAGATGCGCTCTACATTCCTCATGGATGGTGGCATGCTGTTAGGGGGATTGGAAGGGGCGCAAATGCTTCGGTAAGTGCAGTATAAGATCTTTTCTGAATATGTCGCTTAATCGTTGTCTAGGTCAACTGGTGGTTCCGCTGAACGAAGCTTCATCGAAATCGCACTCTTTGAGAATCTGATAGAGTGTTTGAGGATATTGAGCCGTCACGACTTAATTTCCACCCTCACGGTAGCCTCCGAGCCGTCAACCCATGTTCCAATCGACCTCGTGCCGGGCACAATCTCCACCTCCCTCATGACACGCTCCATACCCATCTCCGCCTCGCTGTCCTCCGAGTCCCAGTCGTCGTCTACAATATCTGTCGGTGATTTCCGTACCGACATCCAATCGCCGGTCTCCCATGTCAATTTGCACGCCATGGGCTTGATTTTGAAGTGTTTTCCAACGATACCAAGCACCGTGTACGCGGTACTACTCATGGGTATTTCCGTCTCGAAAGTTGTATCCGTAGCTGCCGCGAGGTAGAACTTGATGCGGAGCAACCGGGCAGCAAGCGAGTTTGGGTTTACGGCATTAGCAGAGCGCTGCACATCTGGCTCGCCATACTCTTCACACAACCATTTGTACCGCGGATGGCTTTTCAGTATCTGCTCTCGCTGGCTCTCAGGTGCGAACTGCACCTCCTTGGCGATCATGGACAGATAATACGACTCTGCATTCAGCCGTTCTTTCTCGTGGATGGGACTGTGGTTTAGCGTCTTGAGCTGTCCCAGTCGCGCTAGTGTAAGCATATACCCATCATCTGCCGTCAAGCTCCTTCCATCTGGTGCTTGCAAAGACTGATATAATGGGTTTTGCGACACGCGTAGGCTTTGGAGACCAGGAAAGACGTACACGAGTTGCTCGATGAAAGCCCATGTTGAAATTTCATTGAACGAAAGATCCACTTCTCGTACCGTACTTGGGAAGATGGACATCGACGCGTCTGAGCTAGTTATCTCGGAGATTTTGTTCGATTTGAGGATTAGGCGACGCAGATTGGGCAGCGTTACCAGACATGCTAGCGATGATAGACATGTGATGTGGTTGTCTTCAAGTGTCAGATCGGTGATAGTGGGGTTGAGGGCATGCTGAGTGAGGCCTGTATAGAGGTTGCTGGAGGCGGAAAATGTGGTGACAGCTGGGAAGAGGTGGGTCAGGAGGGCGAGATCTGCCCAGGGAAGGAGATTATCTTCTAGTTTTAGGGAGGTGATGCCTTTGAAGGCCTGGAGACAGCGTTCTCGCTCTTCTCCAGATAGGGAAGTGTCGCGGAGTCGTATACCACTGCGCGGTTATTAGTATATATAGGAAGGGACTGTGTGTGGATGACTTACTCGACCCTCAAGCTTCTCAATCCAGGTAGTTGCTCACAGATTGCAGCTACTTCTCTCCATTCTTCAAAAAGATTTCTACTCAGATCAAGCTCAATAGCTTTTGGACATGCTTCCCTCACATCATTCTTCTCTCCTCCTCTTAACCATTCATCTTGACGTGCTTCGGGTCGATACATGCATAACCCATCCAGGATGATAATCTTCAACTCCGAGAGCTGAGCCAACTGCCTCCGGATTTTGTCGAACCCAATCTCCTCAGCTGGTTTACCATTAAAGTGCACAGGTTTCAGCTGTGGAGGTTGATGATTGAAAACCACATGTACATCTGGATCTTGGAAATCCTCCGTAACAGCTTCAGACGCATATTTTGACTTTAATGCTTGAACAAAGGTGCGTGGTGGATCTGGTTTGCGGGTAGGACGGATGAAGGATGCGGATGTTGGTGACGGGTTCAAGCATGTGAAGTATCGTGTGCCATTATGTTCGCCGGAGTGTTTTCCTCGAGTTGGTTCGTCCCATTCCACGCCGAGCCATTCGCCTTTAGTTCCTTCGACAGTGCCGTAGTAGCGGACGGTACAGAGGCGGGCGTCGAAGCAGAGGCGCTTTCCTATGTAGATATTGGTTGCCATGATTGGCTAAGTCGTAGTAATTTTCCTTCTCCTTTGGCTAGTATAGCCGGTGAGCAGATTTCTTGAGTTTACTTCACCAGTATTATTGTCAGACTCCCCCAGAAGAGCGTGGAACCGGCTTCCTAATGCGAGGGTGAGCGTTGTATGGTGAATGTGTTAAGGCAGCTGCGCACGTGATTATGGAGGTGACAGGGATTAGGTATCGTAGCACTAGCGTCGCACGCCTCCAGAAGTTCTGTCGCGCGACATCACTCCAACACGCCTACGTCTACGCGGCTCCACACTTCACCATAGCCTACGTAAAAGTCATATTCACCTCAGTCTGATCGCGAGAAAGATTGACATAGTAGATCGTACAGGTTCTCCAAGATGGATTACCAGGTACGTTTCTCGTCGCGACATTTAAGAACAGCTACTAACTTCTACAGAATCGCGCAGGCTCCAAATTCGGAGGCGGCGGCGTCGCATCACAGTCGGCAACCAATGCCGACCGACGAGAGCGTCTCCGAAAGCTCGCGCTTGAGACCATCGACCTCGACAAGGACCCGTACTTCTTCAAGAACCACGTCGGAAGCTTCGAATGTCGTCTCTGTTTGACAGTCCACCAGAACGATGGCTCATATCTCGCGCATACGCAAGGAAGGAAGCACCAGACAAACCTGGCACGTCGTGCGGCGAAAGAACAGAGAGAAGGCAAGAGGGACGACGTGGGCCAGCAAGGACTTCTGGCTGGTGTGCTGCCCAAGAAGAACATTATCAAGATTGGCCGCCCTGGTTACCGTATCACCAAAGTACGCGATCCGAACACACGCCAGAATGGGTTGCTTTTCCAGTTCCAGTTCCCGGACCTCACACCCGGCATCACACCCAAGGTCCGCGTCATGAGCGCCTACGAACAGAAGGTGGAAGAGCCGGATCCAAACTACCAGTACTTGATTGTTGCTGGAGAGCCCTATGAGACAGTCGCGGTCAAGCTACAATCGCGCGACATCGATAGAAGGGAGGGCAAGTTCTGGTTCTGGTTCGACGAGGATGCCAAGGAATTCTGGTGTCAGATCCTCTTCAAGACTGAGCGTGACGAACGCTTCAGCGCAGTGCCAGGTCTCGCCCCTGGAAGGTAGTGGCTTTCTTAAAGGTCGGTTGTTTTCAGTACTTTCATTACCTCATGCAAATCAACTTCCCAGGCGTAATGGCGCATTCATTCGGGAACATCACGACTACGTTTTAGGAGCTCATGTCGGTGTAGGTAGTCCCGATACAAAATATTGGATAATACAAGTCCAACGTGACCAAACAAGCTCTTGCTACTTGTAGCCCGGTCTTAAGAAAGGTTTCAGTCTTAAAAGTGTTCTTTCAAAAGTTGCGCGTCCAGCTATGCAACCACATCGCGATGCGCTGGACACGAGAATTCTGTGCCAAGTTTCCGCACGGTGGCTTGCTACTAGCACTCATGACTTACTCCAGATAAGAATCGATGTGAGTTGAACTTTCGCCGGGCTCAGGGTGTACGAGGTACGCCTGCTCAATTATCGATGCTCACATGGCAAGAGCGATTTCGCCTTGCGTCTGTGCGCCTTCCTCACTCGACGTCCGAACCGGACGTCTTCAACAGCATCTGATTCACCAGCGTTACCTCCTCACCGTCTTTCTCGCTTCTGCATTCAACCGACCACATCTCTCCGTTAGTCCGCCACTACTTCAATTTCAAATTGTCTCCTCAGCTAAAACCTTGATCTGTTTGCCGTCTGCGGACAACTAACCCTTGCGGTACTCTATTACACTGCTTCAGCGACGGGCTTATCACGCAGGCCAAGAAGCATAGACTTCTAGGCTGTTGCTGTTGAATGTTGCAGTAGCGTGCAGGTGTTGGTGTTTTCGCCTCTCTTTGGTTTTATTCAATCAAGGCATGTTTCGATGGAGCATGACAGTGTTTTCCAGGAAGGCTACTAGAGTGCTCACTTAAATGCTGCAGCTCTTTGCTTCTAGCCGCGCTTGTTGAAGCCGATTATGGAAGGTCGCCAAGCAGGCATCGAAGCCTAAGGGCTTTTGCTGCCGAGGATACCGCATCATAAACTCCTTTGGACGGCTCTAATTCAGTACAAGACCCTTTGTACAATGCATTACTGGGCAATCCAAACTGCCAGGCTAGGCTAGGCTGTGTTGAGTGGACTCCATCTTCGAACGCATCGTACGAGGGTCCCTTGAACGCTGTTCGCGAGGCAGATGTAGCTGGCATCAAGGGTGTATGGCACACAACAGCATAACATAAATTCCAGCTAGATGGATGTGTGGAACTCTCTTCACCGCATTTCTCACTCACATTTGCCCCAGCATACCTAACATTGTGAGTGGAGACAGCAATTCCACGAGTCTCATTCTCCTCATGTATGGTCAAATGCATACGCGGGTCTTCTTTAGGTCCCACCGATTCGAATGCGGCACTGAATATCTATCTAACTTAAGGCGGTAGGCGTGCATTTAGCAAGCTCAACAGAGATCACATTCTACATCGACTCATCTTCGGGTTGTTTTCAGTATCATCTGATGCCCATGGATGGATAAATACGATAACGGCCCTGGTCTTTTCAAGCCGTCGGCGTAACTGGTAGCACCTGACCGTCTCTTCGTCGAACGAATACTGGATCTGGTCTGATGATTGGCCGCAACTACCTCGAACGTTGATGCAGCCTCGCCACGCTTCCCCACTCTAGAGTGGACCGCCTCACCGTTCGAACGCAGTTTGCCTAGCTCAATGCTACAACATGGATGGAACTACATCGCCCGGCAGGATTGGAGATCCAGAGGGGTTGGGGTTCGTCTTTAGGGTGTGGGTAGCGTAGCTACTTGCTAGCGAAACTCGGGGGTATGCCGAAGCCACTAGCGCCTATCATCTTCCTGATTTCAAAGTCATGAAATGGCCATCTTGCAAGTTAACCGGCCATTGCTGGCGAAACCTGAGCATAAACAGTGAGCTCGCTGTGGACGATCACATATCCTATTATTGGACGTCTGATTACAGTTCTGCATGACGGATCTGTGTGTGTACGTGGTAATGCAGCAACGTTTGTTTTTACTTCGGTGTTCCAAAAGCCGATGGAGAAGAGATGTGCTTCACCGCTGAAGTTGTACAACCCGCTGCATGTGGCTTTCATACAGGAAGCCAAACGGAAGCCATGTACAGTGCTAGCCTGCGGGACATCCGCAGTTGGCTGCAAGAACAAGCACTCACCAGTGGGTGGTCCTACCCATTCCATTTCCTCGGATTTCTGAAACGAGGCCTCGACATTAAATGGCCTCGATATCATGGTACGGATACAACCGCCGTACGCCGCGATCTTCAATCTAACTTGAACGTGGGACGACTTTGGCGTCTGACGTCTCCCGACGCTGGGATCCAAGACAGTGGATACAGCTGTCATATGATCAAGCAGCTATCCTAGCCTGCCCGTAGTGCCCCGCCAAGGTATCGACTAGGTCTAATACTTGAATTCGCGTTGGAATGTTTCAACGATCCTTGTAGTTAGCGCACTGCAGATGTCATGACAGCGGTGAGCGGGTTTGTTAATATGACGGTAGACGTCAAAGGTCGGTACGATGCTAACGAGGGGTAGAGTAGGTAGAGGACTTGGAGCCGTTCTCGCGTTGACACTCACGACATATGTGGCAGGTGTCGGACCATAGAACAAGGACGACATGTCCCACTTGTGTGGTAATCCCGGTTTACGAAGGGTACGGATATAAGCGACTGCACTCTGTTCACATCACTCTGTTCAAGAAGACTGATCGTCCGTGTTGTTTCTTCATACCCCACTGGACAGTACCGAGTTCGGACGCAAGAAGGGCTTTAGCAAACAAAGAATGGCAAACACTTCTCAATTGGCTTAGACCCTGCAGAGAGAGGCAGATGACAAACTGGGGCCTCAGGGTCTAAGACATGGAATAATGTGGCACAGCCTCCTCAAACGCGTCAGGAGAGAGACGCGAAAGGTTGCGTGCTCCAAGATGCCGAAGCGGATGCCGGCATCCAGGCCTACAGATGGACACAGTCTGTGGTCCGTCCAGATAGATTACGTCTTGAACTCGCGTAGTTTCAAGAGCATGTCAACAACACGGCGCACGGACAAAGTGAGTTAGACAGCGCTTAGGACAGGAAAGACGAACGGACATGGCGTTTCGACTCCCGCTAAGGCAGTGGCGCGAGCTGCGGAAGGGATGTGAGATACGGGCAAGGTAGCATGGTGGGGATCGGTTACAGCACGGGCAGGCCAAGGGTCATTGACACTTCTGCCCTTGTTGGTTCGGCGGGGAACGGGTCGCTTGGTGGAACAGATCGCCAACTCTGCGATGAATCTGCTGTCCACACGGAACGAAGAATGAATATCGAAGCGTCCAAGCGTTGCAACTGGATGCTTGGGCCAGAGGAGAGAGTAGGAAGCGATTCCGATGCTATGGATGCGCTTGGAGCTTTCAGCTGCAGCACTGCCCATAGGCCCGCGAAGACCGACGGCGCTACGAGAGGACGAGCCTCAACTGGGCCTAGGAAATGCTAGAGGAAAACGAATTGCACAGGACAAGCAAAGGTCGGCGATCAGCGCATCATTTTTAGACGTCTTGACGGAGTAGCGGGAATACGAGCAGAGCAGGCAGCAGAAGCGCGTCCAAGATGAGGACTACTGCTTTTGACAGATGCAGCGCAATAAAGTTGGGCTTCCTTATTCGGCTGTTGCGGCAAGCATGAGCGGGCTGGGGGGAATTGGCTACGGGCGCTGAGGAGTCAGACGATACGGGTTGATTGATAGAGTGAGAAGGTCGAATGCATGACGACTGCGGCCGCCAATGCAGGCGGCAGCGTAGTCTGTCTTGGGCGGGCTGCAGGCCCACGGGTCTAAAATCAATGATTCGATAGCAGCCTGCTGACACGGTCGCCTTGTCGGGAGCTGCTCAATCAGCAGCAGGCGGACTTGTGAGTGGTGGAGACTACAGGATAGGCAGCGCGTCTGACCCAGGCCTCGCGTTCGCGCAGAAAGCATCGAGCATGAGAGAACAAGGCCCGGCGCGCTCGGGTGCTTGGCTCTGGAGTGGAGACGGAATATCGAGAGCAAGATCCAAGCTAGCGGTCGCTATCTCGCAGCATGATGCAAGTAATGCTGTTCGGCTCCGTGCGCTCTGCGCTCTCGAGGTAGTGAAAAGCCACCGGCTCGTGCAGGGCCGCGGGAGAGCCACTTTTTATCACACTGCAGCGCCTCTAATGCCTGAAGCTTGTCGCCATTGTCAGTGCGTGCCATTTGCTCACTAGACGAAGACTGTCGACGTCCGCCGCGCGGGCCGTCAGCTGCTGGGGTTGCAGGGCATATCAGATTGGGCTTCGCTCCCATTTCGTAATTCACCATAACCCGACTTCCCAGTTGCAGCAGCACCCAGTGGTCTTTGCTCCCGCACCACGCAGCGCCGCGCCAATCGCCCACACATACGCCCATACAGCCCGTACAGCCGCCCATACATATCTTGCACCAAGGGCTCCTGCTCCCGTCGCTGGTTAGACAGCCTGCACCGCCCAAGGTTCGTTCCCCCAACCGTTCGCTCGCTCCATCTGTCCTGCCCTGCCCTGTCTTGCCCTGCTCGGCCCTGCCTGCTGCGAGTCACCCTTACAGCGGCTGTTCGCAGTGCAGCCCTCACATGGCCTGTTTTCGCGCCGTCACCTGAAGCTCAAACCTAACCGCGTCCTAGTCCACGAGCAGTATATCGATCAGCCAGCGCCGTCGGAACATTGCGCGCAGCTCTACCAATATTTGCCCGTGCTTGTACCACCTGTTCTGGCATTTTCCGCGACGTTCAGAATCTTCCGTAGTTATTGAGCTCGTCTGCCTGAGTGGTGTCGCCATCCCCGTCCGTAGCCACCGAACGCGCCTTCCCGGCGAGTCTTGGCCCCACCCGCACCTGCCGAACTTGAACCTTGGTTCGCCGCGCCGACACACTGCCCGTCTCCCATCACTCACCAACACATGATCCCCAGCGACCGCTGCGGATTCCCGTGCGTCTAGCCCTACTACCTGCGCCGCGCCCATTGGCCACCCTTTGAGCTTCGCGACGCTCGACGGAAGCTTCCTTCGAGCTCGGTTGCTCTTGTGCCGCCTGAATGTACTCAGTGCATGTGCAACACCCTATACAAATCATGTCGAATGGTGGTTTTGCCAACGGCATCATGGATCCGCCTGGCACCATTGACCCGTCGCGTAAGTAGTCGCGTCCCCCTCGTCCGTCGCAGGCACTGGCTTGCGCGTCTGTTACATCCGACGCAGCCTCCCGCGAGCAATTGTTGACCAAAGCCAGACGTCTTCGGAGGCCCGACGCAGCCCGTCGCACAGCAACAGCAAGCATCGCGAGGCAGCCTGAAGCGCAGTCGCTCGCCAGAGAGCAACTACGACATCCAGGGCGATGACACGCCCAACAACAAACGCAGTCGCGGTCGCCCTCCCAAGGCCACCAGGCCGCCCTATGCCGGATCGCCGCAACAGACCGGCATCGCGCCGCCCGTGCAAACACCGCAATCACAGACAACAGCCCTGCCCCAAGCATCGCCTCCCCAGACCTCGCCATCCGCCAAGGGAACACCCACCAAGCCCGCCGTCATCAAGGCGCTACCCACTGTGCGCGACCACACTACCGACCAGCTCAATGCCGAAGGCGACGAATACATACCGCGCGAAATTGACGAGGCTGGAGAAAGGAAGGTTACGCAACAAGGTCACCCACTTGACGGCCGCGAATACCGCTGTCGCACTTTCTTCGTCCCCAACAGAGGCGAGAAGCTCTTCATGCTCGCAACCGAATGCGCGCGTGTTCTAGGTTACCGTGACTCGTATCTACTTTTCAACAAAAACCGCTCTCTGTACAAGATCATCGCCACGCAGGCCGAGAAGGACGACCTCATCCACCAGGAGATTCTGCCATACTCGTATCGGTCCAGACAGATTGCCATTGTCACTGCCCGATCCATGTTCAGACAGTTCGGAAGCAGATTGATCGTCAACGGCCGACGTGTGCGCGACGACTACTGGGAGAGCAAGGCACGGAAGCAGGGTTTTACCGAGGAAGACGCGGCGGGTGAGAAGAGGCCAGGTGCAGCAAAAGCAAGAGAGGCAGCCGCAGCCGAAGCGAACCACGCCAGTGCCATGGCTTTTGCCCACCCAGGAGCATACACAGGCAACAATCAAGACTACCTGGGCGCTGCGATCAACCCTCTGCAGCCATTTGGCGGTCTCAACCCCGCACCAGGAAGCATGCCCTCCACAAACGCAGACGCATACAACCAGCGCACAACGGCTGACCTGCAGCCTCGAGACTACAGTGGCGTACAACGTCCACGACATGAGATGCAGGGCGCCCCGTATCAGGACATGACAAGGCCAACTCCGTCTGGCGAAATTCTCAATGCAGCCGCGCAAACAGCCGAGGTCAACAAGCAGCTAGAGCAGCAACGCAAGCACCGCAAGGACTATCTCAACGATGTCTGGCAACGTCCCCACGAGCCGCCCGTCCAGCCGAACCGTCCAGGAACCGCCGAAGGAGAGCACGCCCCGCAGGTTACTCAAGCCGTGCAGTCTCCACGCATGCCCTCGACAGCTGTCAGCATGCCAGGAAATCAGTACGGAATGCCAGCACAGACGCCACAGAGGCCTGGACAGCCCATGGGTCCTCAAGCGTACCGCCCGCAGCCTATGCCCCAAAACAACATGGTACCTTCACCCATGGCTCAGCAACACACACCTCTCCGTGCGGACCAGATGCACCGCCGTCCACCAAGCATTGGAATGCCCCAGGGCATGAACGCCTCTAACATGGGTCCTGGAGGCATGCTTCCAGGTGTCCAACAAAACCCAGGCCATGGGTACCCTCCATCACACATGTGGCAAGGAGGACCACCACAGCCCTCTCCGCTCTCCCAACAGCACAACATGCAGCAATATGCGCAACGACCACAGCAGTCGCCACTTCCGCAGCAGTCTCCCATGCATGCCTCACCACAACTCCACCATGCCCAAAGCAGTGCCTCCATGCATGGCACACCTGTGCAACAGTACCAGACTATGGGTGCTATGGGAGGCTCTATGCCTGGCGGGGATCCCGGGTACCAGGCTATGGGACAAAACCCTTACCAACCCAGCCCGAGCCCTCACCAGTTTATGCAACACCAAAGTGCTGCCAGTCAACAGCCTGGCATGCCTGGCTGGGCACCTCCACAGGCTCCACAACAGGGAGGGTGGTCGACATACTAGGAATGGCCACAACCCTATGATGTGTTGTCAAAAGCGGCACTACCGCATCATGAGCCGAATTCATTCTTGAGTCCACGAACGATGGTCTGATTTGGCATCATTATTGGAATTCAATTGTCCATGCTCCGATCGACACCAGGGGCTACCTGCCGCAATTCATTCTTCGTTGCACTCTGTACACTAGGCTCATCCTATCTTGCTTTTCACTCCGCTCCTCGCTCCACCAGCAACAATGAAATCACGACATACGAGACGGTGACGAACACGCTAAGCAACAAATACGACAATACGAAAGCACGATGGATGCGGTACACAGTGCCATTCCTTTATTCCCTTACTACGAGCTCGGCTGTTATTTCCTCGTGGCGACTTTGGAACGCACGTTGACTTCGTTGATGAAACCTGGACGTCCGTTCACCTGCTATATCTTCGCATCGCATGGATACCCCACAGTACTTTGCGGCTTGGCAGTATTTGCATGGATTTGCGGGCAAGAGTGCATGGAATATTTGAAGGAGATTCATTTCTTGCATTGCTGGAAAACGACGTTTCCGGATCAGATTGTCACATCGTCTTTTTTCGCATTCTTTGTCAGTATTAGCAGATCCCCGTCCCAGTCGTCTTATTCGTGGTGGTTTTAGTTATAGCTTTTTGCACAAGATTCCCCCAGATTCCCCAACACCTTGTTTCGTGTTTTGGTTACTGATTTGCAGTCATTTGCATCATTGGAAGGGACGCAAGTTATGCTCCCGCAAGCTGGTGCTCTGGGATATTGGAGGAACAGGTAGAAATGCGCTACCATTACGCTTCGGGACGCATGACAGGAAGGATCTTCTTCACGTATCCTTTCATTATTAATAATATTACCCATTGCGCAAATACGGAATGAATCTATCGCACTCGGTAAAGGCTTGTGACTGTAAAACACTTGGCTATGCAGAGATGACATTGGTATCAGGCAGGGTCTGCAGCCAGCGACATGGACATGTCGAACAGCAGATGGCTTTGTGTCGGAATCTGCACCCCAGAACGTGAGAATGTGTCATGTCGCTCCATGTACCCCAATTGCTTCCTGCGCATGCATCTGATCGGCGCCATCAACCGCCAGGGGTCGATTCACCACCTGCGTGAATGACGACGTGCGTCTAACCTACAGTCTAAGCATGAGGAAAGACATGGTTCATGGGTTTTGCGACACATGGTCGAACAGAGACCGGGTGCGGGAGCGGACGGCTGCACTGGACCGAGCTCAGACCACGATGCATCATCGATTCGCGCGAAAGGGACTCGATGGCTCGGTTATCTTGCGTAGCCTACCATGCTACCAAAAGTCTATAGACGCACAGTCCCATTGCCCAGACATATACGTGGTTGACGTTATTGCTGTTGCGGTTCATTCATGTCGTTTGGCTTTGACTCCGTGACGGGAATAGGCAGATTCGAGGCAGGCAGGGTTTCTTCCACCTGTCGGATCTACTCCGGCGGCTTTCAAGCTGGCTGCAGTGCAAGTGGCCTAAGGTTGCGGCTCAACGTATATCGGGTAAGATGATTATCATGCTTTCTTCTGCGCTGACAAGCCCATATCATCGGTCAGTATGCACGGTTACGTCTGCCCTCCGCGGTCGTCTCAACGGTCCAACGACCACCGCTTGTACGTGTGATTGCTTTTCCCACTACGAATCTCACGCTGCGGCCACGTGATGGGCGCGGATTCGTTCCTTCCCGCTGCCTGCAACATTTGCTTTTGCGAAGCGGAGAGCAAAGGTTACATGGCAATGCATCTCGCTTAGAGCCTACGTTGCATACATACGCGTGGAAAGTTTTTCGGAGTCATGTCCTGTATGTACGTATGCATCAAACGGCGTCGGAGCACGGATGCCTCTTTCGATCTATATCCACTTTTGCCATGATGAACTGGATTTCCTATGGGCACGGGATATCAGCGTGTTACCCTGGGGTCCCTCGGCGTATGTACTGTACTATGACCTGCATACGTAAATCTCAACAGATTGCCACATGGATTCTCATATAGGCGGCAATTGTTGCCGTCCATACAACGACCACAGAACAATGAGCGTTTAGTAAGCTGGCTTACAGGACCCCCTGCAGAAACGGTAAGAAGGTTCACCGTACCTCGTAAAGGAAGACGGACCCCGCTATTTGGGTAATTTAGCCCTTTGGTCTTCTTAGCTTGGTTATAGTCGGTCCCAAGTCTGAAGGTCTGGTATTGACGTGCAATATGTCTGGACCCTTTTCACCTATCCAGCCAATCTCTTTCGATTCCATCGGAAAATGCAATTATCGTCGTCGTGTCAGTTTCAAGTGGTCCATCCATACACGCTCGCTGCGCACTAAACCGAGAGACGTGTGTGGCTGCCATGCGCTTCTGTTACTTTTTCACACATGGATCGCGCATCACCCGTCGCTGGCACTCCTCAATAGGTCGGCATGGGTTTCTGTCATGCGAATGTTTGTTGTAGACACAGATCAAAGTGGATACCTACGATGCATGCAGGTGAATCACAGCGCCGTTACAATTGCATGCTGCTAGTCTGGTATTAGGGCCATATCCCGTGGTCTGGGATCAGTCCTCATTGCGTCGCATGGGCGGCTACTGCATTCGGACCGACACCTTTAAACTCAGGCATCCGAAAGATTGAAAAGGAATTTGAGATGACCAAGCCAACGGCATTCAACGCCGTCTCCATATAGCGGCCACGGACTCTGAATCTCTAGCTGAGTAACTAATCGCAGGGTAGATCCGCGATCCTACGATCGGTACGAACAATCGGATCCTGGATCTTAAGGATCTACTTACTTGCCTAGGTAGGTAGTTCTCACGGTGAAGTTGCGAAAATTCAGCCTGCGTCACTAGGAAATATGGCGGCTGACCCTACGTCCAGGCGATTCCTGCTGCCACTGCAATTGGACGCATGCAAATCTTATTGTTGGTTCTTTCTTCCTCTAACTTCTCTCTTGTTCGCACGCTACTGGTAGGCAGCGAAATCACCTACTTGGCTCTAAAGGGTTTGAACACCTACACCAGCATGACTAAAGCATCGCGGCAACCGAGACAACCGCCATCAACGCCAATGTGGCTTGGATGCGTGACGATCATTGTTCTTCTTTTCGCATCGACCTGGCTCATGGAAATTTTATCCGCAATACAAACTCTTGGGCCAGTGTCGGATCTCCCTTCGGCTTCAAAGCAGCTACCAAGGGCGCAAAAAGCAATCACTGTGATAGTCGGCGACCCATCCGAGATTATTCGACGTAGTGTCGCTTTTTTTGCTCGCTCGCTTGACTCGGCATCTATAGTGACTCGCTATAACCGGACTTTATCCTCCTCGGAGAGATCTGTCAGAAAAGAAATGGTGTCTGCCAAGCCAATGGTTCCCAGCCCCCAACCCGAAAAGTGACAGATCAATGCCTCAAGGCTTGCGCACCCATCTAGTACTTGACACGAGCAAGAAGCGGTGATACTTAGTTTCCTATCGATTTGAAGAACCAAAGGTTGATGTGATCAAAGCTGAAAGCAGACCCAACAGGCATCACAGCATTCCACAATACAATCCACGGACGACACGGGTGACGCCGTGACGGAAACTCGGTCGCTTCTATCGATACTACAATCTGGTACTTGGGACCTGTACCTGCATTCTACCAGATTTTGCGGTAGTTTCACATCGGTCCCGCAAACCAGAGTTGACGGTACCAAGGATACAGCATAACCCTCAAGTGGTTCACGGAATACCCGCGACCGTGAATCAAACTCTGTACCTGCATGTGCGCGGATCACTGTAGTTTCATTGAGAACTCGGAACCAGCGTCTGACGACCAAACTTCGTGGATTTCCTCTTTCTGACAATCAACGCGATACAGTATCTTTTCATAGAAGCTTTGTGAAGAGGCGGAAGACATCTCCTGGCCATACAGAGATCGAACTCGCTACCCGGAGACTATGAAAGCCACACGAAGATCATCTTAAAAGCACAAAAGGACGTTTCGACTGCCGTCATGACCACTTCTGAGTAGACAAACCCAACCCCTATGACCAAGTTTGGTAGAAAAACCAACATACTAGCATGTTTCGATTCCACAAACTAGGGGACGGTAGATTCCGCATGATCCGCAAGGGAAACATATCTCAGGCTAGGAGAATGCCGAGTATGTCACGGACGAGGAAGTAAATAGCGTTTGTCCTGTGCGCATTGGCGTCTATGCACATATAAATCCGAAGACTCTAAATACGGGAAAGAAGCAAATTTTCGATCCCTAAACTCTTTTTGTCCTGCTAATCAGTCGTTCACGCAGGATACCGTCAGGGGAGACGGGATAGCACGCTAGGATACGTGTGATGGTATCAGAAAGAAGAGAGACATGGTAGGTGCCGAGATGACTGGCTTGGAGAAGGTTTAGATGGGCTCGGGCTTGCTATTGGAGCGGGTACTGCATCCGGATCTCAAATATTCACGAAGTTGAGATGGTGGAGTCGCGATAAGATTGGGGACGAGGGAAGAGTTGACGGAACTCAGCAGGGGAGCCGAGATCGTGTGGTTTCGAAGGCTGCTGGTTTAGCCGGAATTGGAAAGTGATAGCGAGCAAGACCATATGTACATTGTGATGCGGAGCATGTAATCAATTCACGAAGATGCTCGTTTTCATTGTGTCGTACTCTAGGTCATAAAACTTATCTTCAAGAGATATAGTGTTACATGATCGATAAGTTGATGAAGGGGAATGCTATGTATACCTTCGGGGCGCGATATTGGTGGGGAATAAGTCAAGAATAACACGAGGTTCTTCATGGTGAGCACGAACGTTGGACTGAGCAAGCAGAAGGCCTTGTCCGTTACATCACCAGTTTGCTCGATATCCTCAGTTCAACCGCATAGGTAACTGGTTCTACATGAAGGATGTAAATATCAAGGCAGTGTCCCGGAGAAAAGCGTGGATGGCAGTATGCAAGAATATTGTTGAGAGACACCGAATGCAAACAACCAGATTCTTCTATGGATGATAACGATTCGTACTTTCTTTAATGACAAAAAGCTTCAATATATCATATCGGTTGGACGTGCTTTTCAACCTGAGGTTTCTATAGTGGTAATATGTTTGGGCCTATACACAAGGCCATAGATATTGAAAAGTAGAAGGTTGAGGTTCCCAACACTCTCACAAAATATATCATTTTCTATGGCTTCTTGCAATCCGTGAACTCTTTTCACCGCATTAACCTCCTGGAGGAGAGCAAGAGTTATTCCAAGGCAGTGTGTGTTTGACAACCGTTGTCGGCACATGGTCGGCTTAAATCACTCATCAACTATCTTGTTACTTCAAAATAAACAGTTTTCATACTTTGTCAAACATGTCGTTGATCCTGCCTTCCTACACCTCATGTCGCTTCACTCACACTCAAATCTCTCTGACGGAGTTAAAACCTGGTCTGGGATATCTAAACAGAAACGACGACCCACATGTCAGCAAGTCGACTGATTCTAGAGAGTGGGGATGGAGAGTCAATAGAGTATTAGAGTGGTTCAGTTGAATGCCACTCATCATGTCACTAGCTCATGTAGCCCACGAATTCTGTTTACTCTTGATCGTAATGTAACCCATCATACTGCATATCATTACCTAGGACATCGCCACATGAAGTTGTATGGCTTACACAGGTAAGTGGCGCAATAGTCTGGGTTCCGTAAAACTGGTGGAAATCTCAATGAAAGGCATTTCGGTACACAAAAGGTTCATGCATATCATGGTGCCAGACAATCTGTATCTCAAATACGAAGAAGGGGAGAGCATGTAAACGGCTTTGAGATGATCGAGCATGTACTGTATGGGCCCGACATTCTATGAGAGGCCCTGTATAGACGAGAAAACATATAGAAAAACACTCACACGCTTGACAGTGCTCACAATCGTCCCCATAGTCAACACTAATTACCTGACTGGAAGCTCGGTCTTCGATTCGAAGCTGTACCGCAGCCACTCGCCAACTGCCCTCAAGCTCTCCCACCGTACGCTCTCATCTGCCTCCTGCATCAGCTCCATAACCCTGCCCTTCAGACCCAGCTTTTCAAGTTGTTGTCGCTTCTCTGGCACCTCCTTGACCAAGCACGCGACATCGTTGCACCCAATAGCCAATACCTGCTTATCGTTTTCCCAGCTCTTAGATAGAATCTCCGCAAGTTTTCGGGGTAGTGCGCCCTTGTCCTCTTCTAAGATGCGACGCGCATTGTCTCGCCAGAAGGTAGGGTTGCGATGCGGTGGCGACCAACGAAGGTGACCCGACTGTAGCTCGGCAGCGTACTCATCAAAGGTAGTCTGTGTCTTGGTGTACTCCTCGAGGAGCTCGTTCAAGGCCTGTAGATCTTCGAGCGCATCTTCGTCGGTTAGATGTCGTGACTTTAGGCTTGAGAGAAGAGAGGGTAGGCGAGCAAGCACGGCTGTTGGAAGAAGAGTCTGGCGGTTGGTAGTCAAAAGGTTGAGGAGAGTGGAAAGAAGAAGACGAGTGGTCTTCTCCTTAGGCGAGACCTTGAGGAGTTGCGTGTAGAGAATGACGATATCGTGCTCCCTGTAAGCTGTTAGTAAATGCGAAATGCGATTTAGAAGAGTAAACATACTCCTGAAGTCCTTCGCCTACGAGCTCGCCCTCAAAGCTAAGCTGCCAGATGACGAGCAAGACGTGGTACAGAAGCTGGAGACCGACACCACCAGAGATGCCACCATCTGTTGTACGGATACTAGCACCGCCACTATACAGGGTTGAGTCTGTATCCTTGGCAGACCCAGCTGCAGCCCGCAGAATATCAAACAGAGGGCTAAGTGTCTCCTTCCTCTGCTTCCAGAATATGCACCTTGATTTGGTGCTGCGAAGTACGGCAGAATATTCCCGTACAGCGATATCCTGCAGACCGGCGTCGGATGCCTTTGCGAGTGTCGAGAGGTAGGTGAAGAGCTGTGCTAAGGCCTCATCAAGCTGGGGTGTGTTCTTGGAAGACGTCTTGACAGCCTGCGATAGAAGGCCGGACAGAACGGAAGACGTCAGAAGCGGTACGGGGTCTTCGTTGTTAGATGAAGCCTTCAAGAGCGGCAGGAAAGGCTTGTAGGGCGCTGGGTGTTGGACGAGAGCCGATGTGAGTGCAGGTATGTCTGGAACTGTGTAAGCTTCGCCTTGGATCTAGAGAGGTTCGCGTTGCTACCATCAATCATGTCTCCCAACAAGACCAGCATGTAGTGAATGATGTCTTGGCGCTTTGCAGCTGCCTCAAAGATGCTCTGCGATCCATTTCCGCCCACTAACAGCGTCACGAAGCTATCCACATCAGACTCGATGGTCTGTTTCCTCTGTTCCTTGCGCACTTTATCGATTGATTTAATCTTCTTGAGGTCTTCGTCGGTGATGGTCTTAGCTCGCACAGCTCCTTCCCATGATATGGGCCGCGCGCGGATGTTGTTCTGGATCGAGGTGAGGTACGTCGGCGGATCTAGCGAAGACATTGCGATGGCCGTGGCAGGGGGGCAGGATGTGAGCGATAGAGCGGCTTCGGTGCCTGGAGTCGTGGTATTGGAGCTCTGCCCAGGTGATGTTGGTCGCTGTGAGGGCCCACCTGGGAGCTCCGTCATGGTGCGGAGCTAGGTAGTGGAGCTAGGATCTTTTGATATCTTGGCATCGACCAATCTTTCCCAGACACCAACACCACGCGCCTTCGTCGCTCATCAACCAACACACCTTGCCCCAAAGATGGAGTACTTCAGTCTGAAGCGGTCGACAGCTGCCGATCGTGGTGAAACCAACCTGTCCAGCAAGGTCTACGTGCGGTCTACCAAAAGTGGCAAGGTCCAGAAAATTGTCAGAGAGTTGTATTTACGACAGGACATTCCATGCTCGTCCAATCTTTGCAGAGCATGTCTAGAGATTGCGCCGACGGACTATTCCAAGAAAGGTTCGGTCGCAAAACCTCACGTGCAGAGTTAGACTAACCTTTGTCAGTCGCCCCATTTGTCCTTTCAGACACGCCAGCAGGATCCAAGGACTTCCCAAGTGGCCAATATCTTATTCCGGACACAAATGCTTTTCTTACTGGCATGGACTTATTCGAAGTTGAGACCGCATTCCATGATGTTATTGTCCTCCAAACTGTACTAGAGGAAGTCAAGAACCGTTCACTTCCTCTATATCATCGTCTGATATCCCTGACTAAGAACGAAGGAAAGCGCTTCTACGTGTTCTTCAACGAATTCAGGCAAGAGACGTATGTGGCGCGGGAAGCTGGAGAGACCATCAATGACCGAAACGACCGGGCTGTTCGCAAAGCCGTACAATGGTACAATGACCATATCACACAGGCTGTTAAAGCGCGGAGCAAAACGCAGACGCGGATACCTACGGTTGTCATGATCACCGATGACAGGGACAACTTGCGCAAAGCTAAAGCCGAGAAGGTTCCTGGCAAGACTTTGTCAGACTTTGTATCGGGTTTGGAAAATTCGGACGAGCTCCTAGACATGATCAGCGCAGCGCAAGAGCAACGGGAAGTCAGGTCGAAAAAGCCAGAGATCTTCTATTCGGAACATTATACAGTCTCTAAGATGATGACTGGTGTAAAAGCTGGCACTTTACACCAAGGCATCTTCAACGTCTCCCCGTACAATTACCTCGAAGGCTCAGTCCACGTACCTGCTTTCGATAAATCTCTCCTTATTCTAGGACGTGAGAACAGCAATCGCGCTGTCTCTGGCGACGTAGTAGTTGTTGAGGTACTGCCTCAGGATCAGTGGAAGGCGCCTTCAACCAAGATCATTGAAGAGGAGACAGTGAACAAGAACGACAACGCAGAGGCTGAAGAAGGCGAGAACGTCATCCCAGAGCGAGAACGACGAGCGTTACAAGAGGAAGTTAAGCGTGTCCATGGACAAAGCACGGAAGGCAGGCCACAGCCGACTGCGCGTGTAGTAGGTGTCATCAAGCGAAACTGGAGACAATACGTCGGCCACATCGATCGCGACTCTGTTCGCTCTTCTTCAAAATCGAGTCGACAGCAACAGACCGTATTCCTCGTTCCGATGGACAAGCGCATACCTAAAATTCGGATACGAACACGACAAGCTGGAGAACTTCTTGGTCAACGTGTTCTGGCAACGATCGATTCTTGGGATAAAGATTCCCGATATCCGGTTGGCCATTTTGTACGATCGCTTGGCGAGCTTGAATCTAAGGGCGCAGAGACCGAAGCTTTACTACTGGAGTGGGACGTTCAATACAAGCCTTTCCCCAAAACGGTTCTGGACTGCTTACCCGCTGAAGGCCATGATTGGAAGGTACCAGCTAGCTTGGAGGATCCAGGCTGGAAGGGGCGTAAAGATCTTCGCGACCTCTTGGTATGCTCTATCGATCCTGTTGGTTGTGTTGACATCGATGATGCTCTCCATGCCCACAAGTTACCGAACGGTAACTACCAGGTCGGTGTTCATATTGCAGACGTATCTCATTTCGTCAAACCGAACAATGCGATGGACAAGGAAGCCAGCCAACGTGGAACGACCGTTTACCTGGTTGACAAGCGCATTGACATGTTGCCTATGCTTCTTGGAACAGATCTATGTTCCCTGAAGCCATATGTCGAGCGCTACGCTTTCTCTGTAATTTGGGAGGTCACTGAGGACGCCGACATCGTTTCTTCGTATTTCACCAAGTCTGTTATTCGTTCAAGAGAGGCATTCAGCTACGAACAAGCCCAAATCCGGATAGACGATAAATCACAGCAGGATGATCTCACGAACGGCATGCGGACGCTGCTCATGCTCTCCAAGAAGCTGAAGCAAAAGCGAATGGACGCCGGAGCATTGAACCTATCTTCACCAGAAGTAAAGGTCCGAACTGAATCCGAAACTTCAGACCCGGCAGATGTCCAGACAAAGAAGCATCTTGACACCAACTCGCTCGTGGAGGAGTTTATGTTGCTCGCCAACATTAGTGTTGCCGCAAAAAACTACGAGGCCTTTCCACAAACAGCTTTGCTCCGTCGCCACGCTGCCCCTCCTAAGACGAATTTCGAAGAGCTGGATAACCAGCTCAAGGTCAAGAAGGGAATGGAGCTCAAGACTGATAGCTCGAAAGCTTTGGCTGATTCACTTGACAAGTGTGTTGATCCCAATGACCCATTCTTCAACACTCTCGTCAGGATTATGGCAACACGTTGCATGATGTCTGCTGAGTATTTCTGCGCCGGAACTCAAGCGTATCCCGAATTCAGGCATTATGGTCTTGCTAGCGAAATCTACACTCACTTCACATCCCCCATCCGTCGCTATGCTGATCTCGAAGCACATCGCCAGCTTGCTGCTGCTATCGAGTACGAGCAATTGGACCCTAGCCTACAGTCAAAGGCCAAGCTGGAAGCTGTATGCAAGAACATCAACGTGCGCCATCGCAATGCACAGATGGCCGGTCGCGCTTCCATTGAGTATTACGTCGGCCAGGCGCTCAAGGGCAAGGATATCAACGAGGAAGGTTTCATTATGAAGATCTTCTCCAACGGCTTCGTTGTTTTTGTACCGAGATTTGGTATCGAGAGTCTCATTCGATTGAGGGATCTTGCTACACCGGAGCCGGAGGCTGACTTTGACGCCGAGAACTATGTGTTGAGTATCAAGGGCGATGTTAAGAGGACTATCGAGCTGTTCGAGAAGGTAACTGTCAGGATCACGGACGAGCTTGAAGAAAGCACCGGAAAGAGAAAGGTGCGATTGAGTCTGGTATGAGGCTTAGAGAAGCCATCCCCTGGGTTGGGTCACTAGGCGTTCAGGGCACGAAAACGGGAAAGCGGTTTCCCTTGGACTGTAGAGCTAGTTGTCTTCGGGTTCATGATCACGTCCTTTCTACTAGTATATTCACGTTTCATCACATCCAATTGTCTCTGCTGGTGGCATCTTGTCTCTTTAGGCCCAGAGATGAGATCTTCGTTTGTCATCGTACGTCCTGATCAAGTATTTACACACCTGCATAAGACTAATACTGACAATGGAGTAAACGACTTTCACTCCAGTACCCGAGCCCTTAGTATGGATGCCACCTCAACGTCTAGATCTTCAATTTGGTGACAAATTACGGTTCAAGGCCAGCCAATATACCCACACTCGGTACTCCTCCGACGCTTTCTCTCGCTCTCAACCACACTTACGGCGTGGCGACAGGCGACAGCAGCCTCCCGCTTTGTATCAGCATCTAGGTTAGCACAACTGCACTCATACGTAAACACATCCAGGCACGACTCAAGACATCTGTCGATCCATGCCCATCCTATTCGTAACCTCCACCTGCCCCGTTATTGCGCAAGCGACGCGCCAACAAGCTCACTCGCGACATGCCGCTTTTCGACGCTCGGCCATGCCGACAAGGTTTACGACGGCTCCTGAATGATCGCTTACCTACCTTACAATCGTACTTTTCCAGCTTCTAATCTCGATCATCCTATTCACACGTCATTGCGCTTCGAATCGTACTGATCATTTGTAGAGCTTTCGTTACCCGGAAACAACAATGCCGATCATCTGTATAGCCGGCGTGAAAAGTTGTAAGGCATGTTTGAAGCAAGCCACAACTGGGGAGAAGGGGTAGTCATCTCCTTCCTTTACTGGGCCAAGGTGCAGACCGTGGCGCATGATTAGCCCGGTAACGGACCGAGCCCGTCCTGCATCTTAACGATCCGCAGCGGAGGATGATGGCCGAAATCGCCCTTTGAGATTCAAAGGTTCGGCAAACCTGCACTCAAAACTCTTTACAAAAGCCGTAAACTCTACCGTCTGGCTTGCAATGAGCGTCTTCAAACATGACAGAAGAGGGGATGGCGCTTAGAAACGTTCCTGTCACTCGGGAAAGGCCGTAAGGCTGGTGGAAGTTGAAGTAGTGAGCGAGGTCGCTTATAAGGTTTGCCGTATCTGAGACGTGCGGAGACGACCCCGGGGAACCGATGCTGCTAGGAGAACGTGAGAGATGGTGGTCATGCACATACGAGCTTAGTTCTGCAGTGGATAGTTGACCGTCTCAGAAGCCACGAAGACATGCATATGTAAAGTGGAGTGGACACACAGCCGTGTCGCTGGGGTTGGAGTGAAGCTTGGTTCTATCTCGGCGATCGAGATAAGGGGCGTTCGTGAAGTGTTTGGTACGATATCGGCCCCGATGTCGTAGTGTGTACTTTACAGGATAGCGTTCCGTACCTTTTTCTCTGACAAATCGTCTTGATGTTCAAGTGGTATTGTGGGTAGTGATCATTGACTTTGTTCCTCATAAGAGTGTGTACAAGTTGGGCGAATTAATGACAAGATGATTGTATGTGTGAAGGCCATGGAGGGAGAAGTGAAAGTTTATTGGCGGCAGTAATTCCCGGGTCGGTTGAACCCCTTGGACTAACGCCACATCGTGCGACTCTCTGAAAGCGCAGGTGCTCTTGGTCGGATTACAGCAGCAAAAGCAAATCTGTTGATCATGATAACAA